ACCCTTGTTTGTCTTCCCTCTATCAAGATTCAAGGCAGATGGCTTCGCACAAGTCAAAGGGCATTAGGCAGCTGTTCTGGTTTCCCTCCCTAATTCACTGTGGTTGTAATGAACAATATGAGAGAAGAGATAGGAAAACACTGCAGGACTACGAATCTGATAAATCTAGGGCAGTTCCGTAATAAGAATTTCATTAGACTGAATTTTAATCATTTCTGGAGTTCCTTGCTTCATATACAAACAGTTGAACATGGTCTTCAGTCTCATTTACTTGCTAGAAATTTAACTAAATACCTCCATTCTCCAAGCTCTGCATGGCTAGTGAGACCTATTGGAGTGACTTTGCTATGGGACAACTTTGAAGACTCTTTTCCTCAGGAGATGCCAGACAAGGGTGGGTAATGGAGGCATTGGAATAAGAATCATTGTAGCTGTATCCCATTTTGTTGCTGCAGATTTATTAAACATTCAGATTAAAACTTGGCAGCATTACTTCTATTTGTACAATTATGTCATGTTCCCTAAGCTAAAAAGAAAAAAGCAAAAATACAGAAAGAACTGTGTTTTTCCTATGAGCAGTTGAAGAGGAACGATTGAACTTCAGGAGATCTATCATGGATTTTTAGAGCTGCAGTTTCAGATTGAATGCTTTTTAGTGGGAGCTGAACTAAGATTTAGTTCCACACAGTGGAAACAAAATGGACAGGTTTTATTTTAAGGCACTTGCAATCTTATTTGGATCTAGTTTAGGATTGGAACCAGCTTGCTGGTTGCTGACATTATTGGAAACTGGTAATGCCACTAACATTTTCTCCATGTCAGGTGTAAAAAAAAAAAGTGATGTTAACTGAATACAGGTAGTCCTCAACATACGTCCACAATTCTGCCCGAAATTTCTGTTGCGAAATGAATTTGCCCTGTTTTACGAACTTTCTTGCCACAGTTGTTAAGTGAATCACTGCAGTTGTTAAGTTAGTAAAACGGTTGTTAAGTGAATCTGGCTTCCCCACTGACCTAGCTTGTCAGAAGGTCACAAAAGGATATCACATGATCCCAGGACACAGGGACTGTAATAAATATGAGTCAGTTGCCGAGCGTCCGAATTTTGATCATGTGGGGAGGCTGCAACAGTCATAAGTGTGAAAAGCGGTCATAAGTCACTTTTTTCAGAGCTGTTGTAACTTTGAACGCTCATTAAATGAACTGTTGTAAGCCATGGACTACCTGTATGCTGCGCATACATATAATACTTAACATATTTAAAAAGTCACATCATTTTAAAGGAGACTCAAAACACGTTGGGATTTAATGGATCATGAGATACATTGTGAAGATGAGTTGAACCAGAAGAGATTAAGACAAAAATAAGAGGATGCAACAAGCCTAATTTGCACATAAAACTGAGAGTATTAGGTAACTTAGAGTTCACTGAGTACTTCTGCCTGATGTCTCTGGTTCCCTACAAGTAGTAAGAAACAGAGCTTTTCCTTGTGTACATTTCCTCACTGGCTGGGTAAACCCTTTTTTCTTGTGTGTCCTGACTTTCAAATTTCCAGCCTAGGAATGTAATAGTTTATTAATTGATTAGTCTTACAACCAGATAAATAAATAAATAAAATACATGATCTGATTCCAGGATAAAATAGATAAAAGAAAATACACTGATAAAATGCATATATGGTAATGCAAAGAGTCAGCAATCAGATAAATGCATCAGCCTTACAAGGTACCCCAATTTATTCCATGTATCGAGTTCTTAGCATAATTCCCACAGCATTGTCTTATGCCTAAGGATGTCTAATCTTGTAATAGGACTGTATTACTATTATCCTTCTCACCTGTCTAATTACCTACTCCTATTGGTATCTTATGACTATCACTTTGTTGGTTGTATCTTATGATTTATCATTGTATATGATTTATCACTTTGTTGCTTGTATGTATACTGAGAGCTTATGTACCGGAGACACATTCCTTGTGAGTCCAATCACACTTGGCCAATAAAAAGTACTCTCTTGTCTTCTACTTCCTATCCTATCCTATCCTATCCTATCCTATCCTATCCTATCCCAGAAGAAAATAAGACAATATTATATTAGTAGCATAATAGTACTTCCCCCTTCTTTTAACACCATCCAAGAACATTCTCAACATTTTTGCCATTTACTGCCTTGAGTACAGTTCTGAAACTTTGTATGACTCAACTCCCTAAAAGGATGAAACTAAGGATTTCACTGGGGATAAGGCTGGGTGTGAGATAAAGCTACCATTTACTTTGAATGATTAAAGTTTAGTTTGGCTACCATCAGGGGTCTCAAATATTGTGAGACTGTAATTTCTTGCATAGGCAAAATGGGAAACGAAGCCCAGGGTACTGTTTCTGCTTTGTCTGTGCAAACACGATCAGGCTTTCTAATTATTTATTAATTGTGACTTTCCCTCAGTTGTTGCATCCAGATCCATAGTTTTAGAACCTCTGACTTACAGGCTGGCTGCCAGAAAATAAGAACTGCTAGAGACAGGGTGTAAATCAGTAGTATAGTTTTCTGCCAACTCACGATGGGTGGAGAAAGAGCATTTCCCTTCTCTAAAATGCCCCAAAGATAAAAACAAATTGGCTGCAGTTCAGTTCTTGACATTCAGTGATTCAGTTCCGCAAGCTAAGCCATAATCTAAATTTTCTTAGCATTTATGTAGTTGAACACAGCTGTTTGGTTTGAAAACTAGTAGCGTGGTACATATAACCCTAACCATAAATCTAATAAGATAAACAGATTGGACAGGAGATATTGAATGACTCAAACAGAAGACTCTGGGCCATGCACAAGAAGACAAAAAACAAAAACAGATTTACGCCCAATCTTATTAAAGCCTAGCAGTTCCCCCCCCCCATTAAAACTCAGTGGTCCCAGTGACATCAGAAGGTTGCCCACAATTACACAATGAGCCAAAGGTTTACTGAAGAAAAAATTATTTTCAGAGTCATTCAGAACACGGTTGAAACTACGGATGCCTCTGGGGCAGCATTGGTGGGAACTATTACAAAAAAAACCCTGACTTCAAACCCAGACTCCTTTCACTTCACACGGGATGAAACGTTTAGCAGAGCCTCTCTTGAGGTCCAGAACTAGACTGGCAGAATCAGGCTTAACAAGATTCTATATAAGATGGCTTAATGATAGGATTCAGGGTAAAGTATAGAATCTTAGAAACTGGGATAAAACAACTTTAGTTCCTCATTTATTATTTAGTTCAGTGTTTCTCAACCTTGACAATTTTAAGGCATGTGGACTTCAACTCCCAGAATTCCACAGCCAGCAATGCTGGCTGTGGAATTCTGGGAGTTGAAGTCCACATGCCTTAAAATTGTCAAGGTTGAGAAACACTGATTTAGTTCATAAGAATCTCCTCAAACCACATTGATCTCTTTTTCCCAGCTTTTGCCTGCCTGCATTGAGTAGAATTTAATGAGATAAGCTGTTTACAAACCCTTATTTTATGTCTTGCTGGTTTATGCAATCATCCCTCCTGCTCTTTTTCCAGCCTTCCCCCAATCCACCACATTCTCCTACTACAGCATATGGAAGTTTGGGGGCAGGACAAAAGTTGTCAACCACACCTGGATTGAGTGGTGTTTTTTTTTTTTTCAATGGAAGAGTCACGACTATCTTCTTCAAAGCAGGTGGCAAGCAGCGAAGAGAGACACGATTCTAACAGTGAGAAGGCACAATACATTTTTTACAGGGAATACATTTTAGAGCAGCGGTTCTCAACCTATGGGTCGCGACCTCATTTGGGGTCGATTGACCATTTCATGGGGGTCACCAAGCAAGGCTGTCCGCCATTTTTTTCCCCTTTTCCGGCGGGTGCCTTACCTCTCTTGGGCTGGGCCAGCTGGTGGTCGGCCTGCTCAGTCTCTGCCCCTTGCCAGCTACGCCTCGGCCGGCGCAGGGGGCGGAACCACGCATGCGCGGCGCTCCCAGGCAGGGAAAGTCCTCGACTTACGACCGGTTGGGTAGTCCTCGACTTACGACCGGTTTAGTCCTCGACTTACGACCGGTTTAGTCCTCGACTTACGACCGGTTTAGTCCTCAACTTACGACCGGTTTAGTCCTCGACTTACGACCGGTTGGGGGTCGCGGGATTAAAAAGGTTGAGAACCACTCTTTTAGAGGGAATTCTTACCTACTCCTTATGGGTTTTACTGTAAATTGGAAACTCTTTTGTGGAGCTCAGATAATTGGAAATCACTTTGTTGAGCTTAGATAATTGTTGTTTGGATTGCTGGCGAGTCTTCTGACTTGGTTTTAACTGCTGCGGGCCACTTAGAGTCATTATTATGAGATAGGCAGCTATATAAATAATTTAGATAAAGAAACAGTCGTGGCAACCTCTTGGCATCATAGCTACCGCTGAACCTGAAAGTCAGGAGGAGAGAAGAAAGCAGCAGCAATACAGTAACACCGACACTGCAGGACGAAGGGAATGTAAGAGAAAAAAAAATGTTAAAAAGTGGAGGACCTACGAGAATTTTTCCTTCCCCCAAAGAAAGAGAGCCCTAAATGATAACGATTCTGAGGTTCTCTCCATTTCTTGATAAAAGAATATTGAGAATTTTTGTGATAGAAATAAGAATGTTGAATGTAAAGGTTTGAAGAGCCGGTCTACCAAATATATTTGAGGATTAATTTCATCCAACCTTGCCCTTTCCTGTGTTGAAGGAGCAGGACGGTAGGGATTCTTTCTTTGGCCTTTGATAACAGGTGGTTTCTATAAACTTCAAAAAAGAAGCCCACACCTTTACAGACTTGGAGAAAGCTGCAAACAAACTTATGATCCTGGCCAAGAATAAAAGAGATGAAAAACCAACAAATGGCAATAGCAATCGTAAGCTTACTGATTGCAGAATGGAAATTGTTAGTTTTCACATTCTAAACTAGAGAAGAGCTCTTCGGTCGAGAAGACAGTCTTACTCAAAAGAAATCCAAGCATTACAGACCAGGAAAGTGCTCTTAAGCAGGTAATTGTAAACTTTGGTCCGGAGTTGGGACTCAATATACCTTCTGTTAGAAATAATTTGCTTAAGATGGATTTTTAAATTAATATTTTTTTAAAAAAAATCAATACTTTTTCTTTGCCCACGGCAATTAGTTGATAATGTGAAATATATATTTTAAAATACCAGTTTCTTGGGTGGGTTATACTCTATTCCCCCCCTTTTTCTTTGTTATATTTTTCCTATTGAGTGTGTGTGTGTGTGTGTGTGTGTGTGTGTGAGAGAGAGAGAGAGAGAGAGAGAGAGAGAGAGAACCGGAGGAGGAATTTATGTTTGTAGAGACAAATGTTGGCAAAGGGGCAGTAGGGATTTTTTTTTATCCTGCCTTTATTATTTTTATAAATTACTTGTCAGATTAAAAAATAAATGGAGAAGAGATGTGGGTTTGGTTTATGGCAAAGAGATGACTTCACATGTTTTGAAAGATTCTTTGCAAAAAAAAAGAAGTTCATATCTTTTGGAGATATGGTAAGAGCTGGACTTTTTCTGGGATAGAGGTATTGAGAATGTAAACTGACAACTGAAACTTAGGACTGACTATGGGAAATGTTAAGTGGGTTTTCAATTAAATCATGAAAACTGTGGGAAGAAAAAAAGATCCAGATTAAACCCATGAGGGGTATAAAGTGGGACAGTGATTATTAATTGTCGGAGGCAATAATCTGTTATTTATTTGTTTGTTAAATTTGTCACCTGACTCTCAGTGATTCTGTGCAGCTCACAAGTAAACCCATTTTTAAACATACAATAAGAAGTAAAACTAAAAGAACAAGAGAGGGCAAAGATGAGACAAACCAGACTGGAACAAAAAAGAAAAAAACTCAGGCAGTCTAAGACAGCCTTCACTCACCCTCACCAAAGGCCTGAAAGAAGATTCAGATCTTATATAGTAATAGGGTTTCACTTCTGCTCTTACTGTAAATATTAGCTTCATTCTGTTAGGGATGAAGAAACTAGGGAGTTTCAGCCAAACTGTAGCCTATTGACTACATGCTCCGTATCAAACTTAGCTAGATTGTTCTACTGTTTTCTTTCTCTCCTGAATGAGACCTGTTAACTTCTGACTATTAAGGCAGGGGTCACCAACCTGTGGTCTGCGGCCCACTATCGGGCCGTGGCCTGCTGGCCAGTGGGCCATGAAACAGGCTGACCAAGACGAAAACAAGATGCCGCACTGCGAAAACGGGGTGGTGCTAGCGCATGCATGGGAAAAATGGGGTGGTGCTAGTGAGTGTCATTCGGGCGCTAGCACCGCCCCATTTGCTTCGCACGTGCTCACGGCCCCATTTGTGTGCACGCACGCACGCATGCATAAAATGCTTCCCCCTCCCTTTCCCTCCAGTCCACCAGCCGAGCAAGGTTGGAGACCTCTGTCTTAAGGTTTCTGAAAAGGTTTGAACACACACCATAAAACAAGATATATCCATGATAAAATTAGCACTGGTGTAAGAAAAGTCAATGAGATATAATGGCAGGGAATTAAATTCATGAATTCCAACCCAATTGGATGGCATTAGATAGAGACTTCATATGAACAATCATAGATAAACTGTTCTGAACCCACTACTCCGCTGATTCATAGAGCATGCTTTAAATTATAGGAATTATAGTTTAATACATCTAGAGAGGCAGGAAAAATTGTATTTCATTTTTTTGCATTGGGACTAGTTTTGGACTAGAATTAGTGGAAAAGGCCCCTAAAGCAGGAAATGAAACATTAGTCAATACTGCATGTTGTAACATCTTCTGTGCGATGGATTGCAATAATGAACGTTGGTTTTTACCATTTTAGATGACCAATACCAACACGTCCCTGTGGAGCTATGTCTCCACCATGTCTCCGGAGCGGTTCAACGGCTTATATGAAGAATTTCCTCATACTCTACGTTGTCTCCTAGGGGAGTGGCTGGAAACTGAACCATGGTAAGTCAACTAAAAAGGTAATGAATGGTAGACTTAATCATCTTTGACAATGTCTCATTTTTATCCCATGTTCCTAATGCACAGGTGGGTATAGCTTTTTCTCTTTCCATCTGATTATTTTATTGACAGATCATACATTTGGAATAGTTTCTCCATCAATATATTGTACTATAATTATCATTTCTAGATCATCAATACATTTCAGGCTTTGACTGAGAAATCATCTTGGCCAGTCTCTTTTAGAAATCCATGAGTAATATAATAAGATGGGAAATATGTCTTTTTCTTCTTCAGTTCCTTCCAAGAAGGTTAGCAATGCTAAGTGAGGTTTAAGAGTGTTACTCTTTTCTTGGTCATGGCTTGTGTGATAGATTAGGTTGGGAAGAGTCACATTGTGAATGGAGTCTTTCTGTTAACAAAATGTTGCAAACTAAGTTTTCACTCAAATCTAAACTTCAAGTGTCTTTTATTACCTCTCTTTTTTTCTAACTTGAGTTATAACCAGTGGTGGGATTCAGCCAGTTCGCACCAGTTCAGCAGAACCAGTAGCTAATTTTGTTGCCAGGCCCAGATTGGACTTCCGGAAGCGGCATCCACACAGAGAAACGGTTGTTCACATATTTGAATCCCGCCACTGGTTATAACATTTACTTGAGTCTCATTATTTCTTATGTCTCATTTTTCATTTTATCTAGAGTTTATATCTTAGCTTTGATCTAGTCTCTATCTTGTATTTTTCTATAATGTCTGAGATGCAGAGCATGTCTCAGCCTGGATGTGCTCAAGAGCATGTGCACTTGGATTTTCAATTAGGGCTGGGCTTGGGTTTGAAGTATTGCCATCATTACCCTGGGTTTTTTTTGACAGCAGTCCAACCTTCAATGTATCATTGTCAGTATTCGCAGCTGTGGTCCTCCTTCCTGGATACCAGTGCACTGGTCTCACCTCAGTTGGGTTTGTTTGGCTCCTTCTCAGCCTCCTTGCTGGTGCTACTCTCTTCTGTCCGTTGTAATTCAAATTGTACTTGTTGCTTGTTGCTCTTTCCATTTGCTCCTCTAGTTTCTATGTTGTTACTCTGTCCACCTATGCTCTGGATGGTTAGCGATGCCACTGCTTTCTACTGCTGCTTATCACCATCATTAAATTTCTTCTCTCTGCTGGCACTGCTCTGCCCAACATTTTCAGGACTTTCAGTTTCTTTCCTTCATCATATTCTTTAGTTCTGCTTCTTTCTTCCAGACATCTTCTTACTACCTTCCATTGTTTCAATGGCCCTCTTTTTCAAGGACCAGCTTCTTTATTCTGACAGAGTTGGAGTCCTTATAGATAAAGGTAGAACAGGGGTAGGCAACCTTGGCTCTTTTATGACTCGTGGACTTCAACTCCCAGAATTCCTGAGCCAGTCCACGAGTCATAAAAGAGCCAAGGTTGCCTACCCCTGAGGTAGAAGGAATAGGACAAGGACCTTTTGCTTGCTATGCACCCATCTTTTTCCAGTTTGAACCAGTTGAGTTTAAGAACTTTGACGAGGGAGATGGCGTAATAGCCTGGATCTCTACACTTCTTTATTTTTACCTTTTTGTCCCATTTCTCTGCCTGCTTCCCAATGTTCTCCCCAGGGAATTCATCAACAGATCAGACTCTTTCTGTACTCTTCTGGCTGGAAGGCTGCTGTCTGCCATGGTGGAGAAGATACGAGATCTTGCCAACAAAAACTGCAATTCTGCTGCTCAGATTCTTCAGTTTGTTGCTAACATTGAGGTATGGAAGGCTGCAATGTGAATGTGGTATGTCGCTGAAAGGATCCTCTTCAGTCCTACCACAATGTCCATATTTGTGTGTGTGTCATACATTGTAATGCTGAGTCCTGTGGTTTAAACTTCCACCTTCTTTTCTAGACAGCAGAAGAAACAAGAGTTCCTTCTTCTGTTCTCTTCTTTTTAAAATGGTAGAAAAGAGGCACTGGGCTTTAGCTTAACTAAACTAAACATTTCAGGCAGCATTCCCTAGATTAAGAAAAGGGACGCTCTTATCTGGGATGAGGGAAATGGTTACAAAGATTGCTGTAGCGTAGCTGAGTTGTTTTATCACACACACACAAAAATAGGCCTTAAGATGTGGTGTCCTGATTATTTTATTTACCAGGAAAAGGTGGGAATAGGCATGTTTTAATCTGCAGCCGTGGCAGGGAACCACAGCCAAGCATAACATGCAGGCTGCATCTTGAGAATTGAACATCAGAGGTCTCAATCAACCAGTGCTCAGAGATTGGTCTGTAATTGGGTGCATCAGGCTATGCTTTCAGTTTTGCATCCAAACACAAATCTCCTCCCCCACCCCCCAAAACTCAGAAAAAAAGAAAGTAAATTGCAAGCTTCCTGTTGGTTTGCCATAGAGACATATCTCAGATTGATGGTTCTGAATTAACATCTTTTTATGCAGCCATGCCAGTTGCCATGACTCCACAGATATTTTGATTCATTCCTGCTTCTGCAGTGGTATTTGCTTTTGTAGACAGGAGTTTCCTGTTTGTACAGAATCTTGAAATTGCACCAGAAGGAAGCCAGGACCGCATGCAAAAATTACCCAATGATGCTGATTGATTTCTCGGAGACTCCTTGAGTTTCAAGAATGGAATCTAACTTACTTCTAGTAATGTTCAGTGACTAGCTTGGCTCAGTCTTCCTTCAACAATCTTTTTGTTTTAAGAAAGCGTTTTAAGAAAGGGAACCCCCCCTAGGTCCTAATGCCCAGGTAAATTACAGAGCCTCAAGGCCTCCATTAAAGTTGCAATGCAAGAAACATGGATATGTAAACATGGTATGTATATGAGATTGTGTCCTGAAAAGACACAGTGGGTTGTACCAAAATGCCTGGAGGGTTCCAGTTCTGAATGTTTCATAACAACTCAAAATGTGGAACCTTACTCAGGAGTAACAATCCATGATACATCTGTTCTTTTTTAAAACAAACATCAAATTTACATTGATCTAAAGATCGTCCTGTCTGCACAATCTGTTTGTGATCTAGATTCACTTGGGGAGGTATAGATAGGTGCTTCACTTCCCAGAATCTGAAAGAGAGAAATTTTTAACTATATGTTTTAACTTGTTCTTAACTCTTTTTAATTTAGGCTTTTACGTAGGTGTTTATATTGTTTTATTGTTGTAAACTGCCCAGAGTCACTTAGGCAAAATGGGTGATGTAGAAATTTATTAAAAATAATAATAAATATAATTAGCTCGTACAGCAATTCTAGGTGAACTTGTTATGGGAAGAATAGTGGATTGTCCCAGAAGTAGACAGAAGGATGACAAGTATTAACAGTTGGCATCTTCCTAATAATTATAGAGCAGATATCGGAAAGATCCACTGCAACTGGCAAATGTTATAAAAAGGATCTTGGAAGCAGAACAAACAGCAGTTCAGCAGCAGGTAAGAGATTTTCCACATCTGTTTCCTGAGACCTAAACAGTTGCTCGGACTCTTAAATCCCATCTGTTAGATAATGGTTAAAAATAGAGGCAGTGCAGCTATTATCTATTGCTAAGGAGCCCCACAACTTCCAGTGATTGCAAGACCCATCCTAGACCTTGGCATCCCCAGGTTGCCTATGCCTTCCATGATATGAGCTCCATCAAATATTACTTCTCTCTTTATTGTATTTGTAAAATCAGCACAAGAAATGCAAAGTATACGAAAAAGGTGCTGCTTCGGTTCTTCCAGTCTCTTTTGACGGCTGACCTAGGACATTCCATTGTGTCTAGGGCAGGGGTAGGCAACCTTGGCTCTTTTATGACTCGTGGACTTCAACTCCCAGAATTCCTGAGCCAGCCACGCTGAGGGGAAAGGGAGAGGTTTCCAAGCTGAGCCATGCTGGCTCAGGAATTCTGGGAGTTGAAGTCCACGAGTCATAAAAGAGCCAAGGTTGCCTACCCCTGGTCTAGGGTCTCTGGCCTGATGTGTCCTTCCAACCTTTATTACCAGAAAGAGTTCTGTCCTAAAAGGAACGTAGCAGGGAGAATCATGTCTCATTTCTCCATCTTGCAGCATCAACACGTTCCCCTTGTAATCGAACGTCAGCGAGAAGAACTGATGTTTCGATTCAGCCTAGAGAAGCTGCACTACAGACTTCAGGAGATTCAAACTCTCCGGGAAAGCTTCCAGCAGATGAAGGGCAACGCCAGAGGTGAGGACAAACACAAAGAGCATTTGAGAAGTCTGGGCACTGAAAATGAAGTGAAAATACCGTACAAAAAGAATCGTCCCTTCCAGTCTTGCTTGCTTGGTGCATATACAACAAGGAATTTTGGCAGCAGAATGACCCATATTCGATGGACACCCTAGATATGAACCACTTTAGTGGATCAAACTCTTGTAGTATTTCACTGTGAGTACAGTACAGATACCGAAAAGTCTTAGATACAGTCTTATAATTATTACATAGTCATACAAGACAGGGGGCAAACTATCCTCATTATTAATAAGCAATTTGAGTTTTCAGACTCAATCTAGTCAAGAAAATGTCAATGTAAGCTGCATGATTGTTTCAAAGCTGCTTTTTCAAAAGGCAGCTGGACTTTGTTTTTTCCTTGAAGATATTTCAACCAATGAAGCTTCTTGGATGATAAGTGGAATGTCTTCAAGGAAAAACAAAGAAAAATCCGGTTGCCTTTTGAAAAAGCCCCTTTGAGACAACCATGACCTGGATGATTGAGAATCTCCATAGACAGTAATAAGTTGCATACATTTATACTTGTGCAGCAGATACTGTACTTAAGCAATCAGACTTGCTTAAGACCTGTAGCCATGTAAATCTTTTAAATAAATAAACTTTCCCCCTTAAGAGAAATATTTTTAAATTTGAAAGGTATTCTTTCTCACATATGTAAGTATGCCCATACCCTTTTTTAAAATAGCAGATTAACTATACAAATGACATTTTAGAAGCAAATATGGGGATATCAGTGCAGGTGGGTAGGAGAGATGTGCGGCTGCAGAATTTTTTTGAATGGATTTTTATACGGATTTTATCATTTTTTTTACTTGAAAACTATCCAGAGTCACTTTGATAGTGAGATGGGTGGTATATACGTTTTGTTAAAAAATGAATAAATTTCCATATCCTCTACCTCTTCAATCTGTGAGTGGAAGGAAACATATAACTGAGAAAATTCATACATGACAGATCTATGTCCCAGCTTCAAAGAGACACTACAGGTATCTACCGAGTGGTTACTAGTGATGGTGACATCCCTCCTGCATGGGGAAGGCAGGTTGATGGGAATTTGTCTCTAGGATCTCTCCCTGCAACATCACCTGACATTATAACATCTGATTTGTTATTTGTTGTGCCTGAGGCTGGGATTTTTATTGCCCTAATTCACATTTGAAGGACTGTACCAGAACACTGCAGCTTCATGAGAAGGGAAGAGGCGTCACATATAACATAGTAGCCCTCACATGACTCCTAGTTGTGTAGTCTTCTGGGAGAAGAGTCAAAGATTTGGTCAAAAGACTTTGGCAAGCAAGAAAAGAAGTTGAAAGAGATAACAAGGGAAGTTTCAGCCACATCCTGGCAGCATCAGTGTTGTCTCTTTGCTTACTGCATAGGACATGAAATTAGGAAAGGGGTGATCTTCATCCAGAGCGATGCCATTTGAGCTACTCTGGACCTTCCATGTTATTCCCATGTTTCAGTACAGGGCTCTTCGCTACCTCACATTTGCATCAGAGCTAAATTTAAAATTCTGGTACTTTCCAGGATCAGTTTCCTCTTATCTCTTCCCATAGTTGTTTGTTTTTTATGCTCCTCTAAATAGGGTCTTTTTTCTCTCTTTCAATTCCTTCTTCCAGATCTGCTTTTTCCAAGTTCAGGGCTTTTAGACTTGTGAACCTAAAGTCAGTTCCCTTCCTCTCTGTGAAAAAAAGGGGTTTAAAGACCTTTTAATTGGATTAGTGTGTATGTATAGTCTGGTTATTTCACCCTGTGTTTATTTAGCTGTCAAATTTCTATTAACATCTGCTTCAAATTATGAATGTAAATATACTTGGTCCTAAGCCAATTATTTGAGTGATTTGTTTTTTCATTTTTTCATTTCTTATCATGCCTTGGTAAATAATGATAAACTTATTATTAAGCAAACAGAAGAAGGTTTTCTCTGGGTTTGTCCAGGGATAAATAAATGAAACATTTCCCTACCCATTTAACAACAGTAGATAAGACGCATCCGTGTATTAGCACATATCGGATCCATTTTGTTGTCAACATTTGAAAGGCGATCAACCCATATAGAGATGGGGACATGAAGGGCCAAATGGAACATGCCTGAACATATGCATAGCATCTGCCAGGAACACATTATACCAAGCAAGCCTTTTCCCAGGATTGCATGTTGGCTTCAGGCAACAGCTGTACAAGTCCAGGAAAAGATGCAGCTATTTTAAAGGGTTGTGTGTCTAAATTGCATTTTGTCATTTGATCTGGATCACTGCATAGACTTAAAAGGTAATATTAGAATTGGTCTTATTTTTTTAATTGATCACTGTGGAAAGAAAAATCTTCATCAGGGTCCAGTCCAAGCCGGGAATAATCAAAATGGAGGCTGCTTTAGAAAGAAGGTTGTAGTTTATTGAAGAGGAAAGCCAGACAGAAAGATGGCTCTGGAAAAACTGACCACCTATAGTAGCAGGTGGTGGATTTTTATACCTTCTTGAGCCTTTGTTTGGAGTTGTTCCTGTGGCATGAACTTTGACCTGAGTCTGAGTGTGCCTTTCTGGTATTCTGATAGTGGTGGGTTATGTTCTGTCCCAGCCTACGTGAGTCCTTGTTAACTCACAAGGACAAACCCCTCTTTTAACAAGTAGGCTGGAAATGCAGGAAAAACAAACCCCTTTTATCAATTATGTACAGACCTGCAAAATGTCCCAAAAGCAAAGGCAAACAGAACAAGATTCAAACGGAGAATTGTCCAAAGGCAAACAGAGCACGATTCAAACAGAGAATTGTTCACAGGCAAGACAAACAGAACGTGATTCCATGAACCAGCACCGCCCATACCTTCCCTTTTTATTATGTAGCCCCAAGGCATGGCTTCTCAATGCCTTCTCCTCCTCCCTTGGAGTCGCCCCATTGTCTCCCTCTGTCCTGCTCTTGTTGCTTGTCTACGTTTGCGAGCGTCTATGATATCTTCCAGCTGTGAGTCCTCAGAGTTTGACTCAGCTTCCCAGCACAGCTAGGTCTCAGCCTGAGCACGAGTGGAGGGGCCAGGCTCTTCATCAGATTCCTCCCACTCTGATGACTCTCCAGGTCCCTCCTCCTCCTCTTCTGATTCCCGGGACTCAGCTGCCGGGTCCACTGGCTGGCACGGAATCACAACAGGTTAATCCTATTATGTCCCAAAGGTCATATCCTGCTTCCCTGGGGCTGTGGCTGATGAGTGTTCGATTTTTTTGATGTGAGGGATTGTTGATTCTAGGGATCTTTTATCTTTCTAATCCCAGCTTCCTGGCTCCAGTCTTTCTGACAAGATTATCACATCTGCATTTCTGCAGACCTGGTTTCTGTTTGGGGCAGAGAGACTTGGGGGAGGGGGTTCTGCTTTAAGATTCTTTGGGGAAATATAATCTGCCTTTTAATATTCCCAAAAATATTTCTTTCTCGGGGGGGGGGCTGACTTCCCACATCACTTTAAAACATCAATTGGGATAAAAATGTGTACAGGTAGTCTTCATTTAGTGACCACAGTTGGAACCGGCAACTTAGTTGTTAAGAAACTGGTCGCTAAATGAAACCACAATTGTGCTTATAGAAATTTTATTGAAGTTTATCTGAATAGATATCAAATATATAGAGAAATGAAGATAGTGGTTAAAGCACCAGGCTAGAAGCCAGGAAACTATGAGTTCTAATCCTGCCTTCCCATTAAAGCCAGCTGGGTGACTTTGGAACAGTCACTCTTTCTCCAACCCAGCTCACAGGGTTGCTTGGAGGATAACAAGAAGAGGAAGGAATATTGTGTGTGTTCAGACTTCGAGTTATTTATAAAAATAATAAAGGCAGAATACATATAAATAAAAATAAAAGGAAAATGGGGAAGGAAAAAGAAGGGGAAAGAAGTAAAGGAGAAAGAAAGAAAAAATAGCAGTTGCTTCCAACTTTTTCCAGTGCAGTAAAGTGCAAAATACTATAGAGTTCTATCAACTTTTTACTTTTACATCATTAGTGAATATTAGCCATTTCTATAATGGCAAACTAATCTAATGACCAAAATGTCATTTTTTTTTTCTGTTTCAAGCATAAAGTTTAGGAGCAATTTCCAAGTAGAAGCAAAACTTGATATGTTTTTTCCTTAATTAAAACAATTAATTTTGCCATCTCTGCCTGCTCTGTCACTTTTTCCATCCATTCTTCAGAAACCACAACCCTGCTTACGATGTTATTTAGCTTTTCTTTGGTTTACATAGTGTGAAGGTCATTAATGTGAAGATTGGTCATAAAGTTACTTTTTCATCACTTTTGTAACTGTGAATAGTCATTAAAAAAAGCAATCGCTAAACGAAGACTACCTGTATTTCTTTGTCATTTGTGATTTCTATAATACATGCTCAAACTTCTCTAAAATATGTCTTCAGTCCAAATTTCTGTCATGGTCTTTCTTTTTAAATTTTCCCTGAAGTAAAACTTTTGTTTTTAACATAGCTACAATAAGTTTAAAGCCTTCTAAACCCATTCAAAAATATATTTTGGACATATAATTTTCAAGGGTTATTTTATTATTGTTATTGCCTTGAATATTGTTTTTCTAATTATTACTATAAGTGGGGAATTTTGTACCCAACTTTCAATAAATGAAAAACAAAATGATGGCCTAAAATGTATGCAATAATTAGCTTATATGTGAAAACCTCCTACAGTTGTTGTTAACCCTGCATTTGTGATCCTCAGCTCCACTGTCACAAAACTCACTGGATTGTCAATTTCCAATACAAGACAACCTGCCAGCAAGTGTAAGTCACCAACATTACAAAGAATTTATTATAGAGTCTTGAGTTTATTTGCTGTTTTCATTTTTTAAAATTACTTTTTCTGCCCTCTTTTTTTTTTGGCCATCTAAACTCTTGAGCCCTCAAGGCAATTTCCATATTTAATTCTAAACAGCCTAAAAAAAACAATTAAACTACTTAAGTGACCATTCTATTAAAAATGACTAAAAACAGAAGCTGCCTAATAAGATAACAAATAAAAATAGTAATTGTCATTAAAGCCAACTGGGTAGATTTTTTATCTTAGGCTTACTCTTCAAACTCAAATGATTTAAAAATATGCTCCAATATGGCGACCTAACGAAGAGAAGGCCCTCAGTGAGGTTGGAATGAATTTTTGTGGAGTTGTAGTCTTAATTTGCAATAAAATATTTATTAGAAGTTGTTGACGTGCCCATAGAAGAAGAGAGTTTCAGGAAAGCTAGATTTCAGCAAACATTTACTGGAATGGTACGTTTATTGTTCCTCTTTTGGAAGAATTCATCTATAATTTCTTATGTTAGGGGAATTTGAGAAAATCTTCTGCTAATGAGAAGCATGTCCTCAAGTTTTTGTTCTATTTGTCCTTTGAAAAACTAGCAAGGAATTGAGACTCTATATGTACAGGTAGTCCTCGGCCTATAACCATCATTGAGCCTGGAATTACGGTCGTAAATTGAGCCGGTTGTTAAGTGGGTTGCCATGTGGCCATGCCTGATTGTACAAACTTTTTTGCAGCGGTTGTTAAGCAAACATGGCAGTCATAAAGAGAGCGCTGCAGTCATTAAACAAACCCATTGTCTGCAATGGGCTTTTTTTTTTTTTTGCTGGAAACTGGAAGTAAACGTCGACTTGACAAATTGTGATCACCCAAACACAGGACACTGCAAACAGCTGTAAATGAGGGCTGATTGCCAAATGCTCAAAATGCAGTCATGTGACTGCGAGGGGTGGGGGAGGCTCTTGGAACTTTGAAACCAACTAATAAGTACCTTTTCTGGGGTCCATTGTAAGTTTGAACTAAGCAGCTAGTCAAAAGTCGAGGATTACCTGTATGCAATAGTCTACCATCCTTATTAACAATAACTGGTCCAGTACAGGTAGCCCTTGACATATGACTACAATTGAGCCCAAAATTTATGTTGCTAAGTGAGACAATTCTTAAGTGGGTTTTGCCCCATTTTACGACTTTTCTTGCCACAGTTGTTAAGTGAATCACTGCAGCTGTTAAGTTAGTAGCACGGTTGCTAAGTGAATCTGGATTCCCTATTGACTTTGCTCGTCAGAAGGTCGCAAAAGGGGATCACATGACCCCCAGGACACTGCAACGGTCATAAATTTGAGTCAGTTCCCAAGCATCTGAATCTTGGGGGATGCTGCAACGGTCGTATGAAAAATGATCACAAGCCACTTTTTTCAGTGCCATTGTACCTTCGAACGGTCGCTAAATGAACTGTCGTAAGCCGAGGACTACCTGTACACCCCAAGTTGCATGTTTAGAAAAGTGCACTAACGGTGAAACAAATTACTTCCTTTGCATTCTTTATTTGCATTTGGCTTAATTTCTTTTACTTCTAGGCGCGTCTATTTGCTTAGAGCTAATAGCAATAATGACTGCCTTGAAAAGTGTAATAAAACAATTAAAGGAATAATTAATTAACGGTAGCAAAGACCTAAAACAGGCTTCCCAAGATGATATCACAAAGAAAGAAACTTTCTTTGACTAAGTAAGGCTTAGTCTAAATAGACACAGGTTAAAAGGCCTTTTAGGGAATGTTGCTTGGTGTAAAAAGATAACAAAATTGGCCTTCTCTGGATTGTTCAGTAACAGGAAGTACTATGGAAAAGTTCTTTGTTCTAGGATGGTATTTGAAATGGCATCCAAAGCAAGTTCCTTTGGTGTAGAAAAATGGTCTTTTTCCAGCTTCTTTGAACTCTAAATTGCTTAAGGGGCGTTAATAAGGATACGACTCTCATCAGATTAGAAAGGATTCCACTTCATTTCCAAGAGCCAGATAATGTCTCCAATTTGAATTCAGTTCAGTTCAAAAGACTGATGTTCGTCCCGACTGATGAATTTTTACATACCAGCGGAGTTGCCAAAACTTGGGCCATGTAATGCTCGAGACAAAGAATTTGTATCCTTAAAGAAAACACAGCTTCGCTCTATTGAGTTCAAAATTATTTTAAAGGCTACAAGCGCTCCTATGGATTAGAGCCGAAGCACTCCCATTGAAAAAGAATCAAACAAGTTGACAAATTAGAATTTCTAATATTGTATATAAAAAAAATACTAAAATTGTATTGGCAATTGTAACCAAAAAAATGCAGCCCATTATTCTCTTGCAGCTGCCTGACTATTCAGCTGAAGCAAAATTTGTCTCTGGGGAGAAGAAATTGCATATAATCAGAACTATTTTTTTTTAAATGCCTGAAATATTGTGGATGAAATTGCCCTGCAAGAGAAATGAAAGAAATGGCCCTCTCCAAAGGCAGTTGTTTTCCCAAGCTTTTGTTTAGTAATGCAGAGCATAAACCAAGCTAGGAAAAGCCTTAAGGAAGGCTGTGACCGGCCCCCAATTTGTAATGGCAATATTGTTTGTATCTGTTCAGCTCAGCTTCATCAGCTCCTTCTCCCAAGCAATCAGGCTAAAACTTGTGTTTTCTAAATCAAGAATGAGAGGTGCTTAGACATCAATACCCATAGGATGTATGTTTTTCAGAGTAGAGAAAGCCAAAGCCAAGAGAGGATGGAGATTTGTCTTTTATTTTTGATTTTTTTTATCTCTCTCTCTCTTTTCCCTCTCCCTTCAAGTATTGATATTCTCTCTCTCTCTCTCTCTCTCTCTCTCTCTCTCTCTCTCTCTCTCTCTCTCTCTCTCTCTCTCTCTCTCTCTCTCTCTCTCATACACACACACACTTATTTGCTTCCATTCAGTTCAGCTACCCCCCCATCAACCCATTGATTTCAGCCCCATTGAGACATAAATAATGGAATAGTAATTTCTGCTGTTTGTTTTTATTTGCTTTTGTTTGTTTATTTCCCGCCCTTATTTTTTTATTTTTTTTTACAAACAAAGTGGCAAACATCTCTAACACAACTTCCTCCTCCTATTTTTTTTTTATTAAGATTACTGGGGAAGGGCAAAGTTAATCCTTGTAAACATCCTAGCCCTATGCGGATAACAACATCCTGTTAGTATTGTTTCTGTGCCCAGTTGAATATTGAGCAGGGGAAAATGTTCAGGAATGCCCCAGACCCTTCAGTGTAAAAAATGGCTTTCCCAAGCTCTAAATGAACGTTGACATGTTGGGTCAAGTTCTACATGTTGATCATCTATGTCTCTTCCTAGCAATCACACAACATGCATGCCCTAACAGAGTTCTCTACTGCATATCTGATACCAGACAATGCATGTCATTTTCTTCATATGTACTCATGTATCCTTTTTCTTAGTCTCTTCAGAGCCTTCAAGGACTGTTTATGAAGATGGACAGTGAGCTAGAAGAGGCCAAGAAGAAGATTCTGGTGAGGCTTCTGATTTGGAAGAGACAGCAGCAACTGGCTGGGAATGGAAGTCCATTTGATGAGGACTTGTCCCCGCTGCAAAAGAGGTGAGTTGTGCAAAAAGAATGCATTGCATTTTGTCAGATGGTATGTTATCGTTCTGAATACTGTCAGTGGTTTAGCAACCCAACTTTTAATGCTGCTTAAAGAAGCAGCTGAATGCAAAATTCTCATGGCAATGTCTCTTATGGATCTACTTTCCCTGATAGAAGTCTATGGTTGATGTTACCATATCTAGAGAAGTTTAGTGGTGTTGATAGAAGTGTAGATCTTTACATTTGTTTGTCAGATCTTAGATACATGAAGTGGCCTACATATCAAGCAAAATAAAATTTCTAACCTCTATACAGTACTCAGCTCTACTTCATTTTTAGTGCTTGGTAAACTAGTGACTGCTATACCCCTTGAAAAGTTTGCTTGAGTCTTGGAACTTAGATAATCTTGGTTTGGATGGATGTGGGATTTCAGTCCCAGAGATAAATCTGTCATGTTTCTAACAGGTTGGAATGTCTAGTAGATATTTGGTTCCAGTTTCGCCAGCAGTTGATCACATCTGGAATTGAGCTTCAATCTCGTGTTCGAGAACATCTTGATGACACATTCAAATCTCTTATACAAAAGTAAGGAGAATCCCTGTCTGGAAGAGTTGTCTTTCTTTCCCACTGGCATCTCCTTTCACGCTATGACTGGTATGGGGATTATTGTCTGTGTTGTTTGGTGACTCTGGACCATGGATTATCAGCAAGAGAGGCTGAAGGTGTTTAGAGGAGATCATGAAGACATTCTATCAACCATTTTTGGTGTAGGTTTTTAAAAGAGTTTTAATAGTTGAAATTAAGATTTCAGCTTAGCATCAAACTCTTGGTTCTATCAACTTTTTGTTTCCTAGAGGTGAAATGTTAAAATAATATTTTGTGTACAAATGATATAAAGCCTTGACCCATGTCTCCAATTTGTTGCATGTCAAAATCTTCCCATGGTTGAGTATAATTCCTCAATCTCAGGAACTTTTAAGATATGTGGACAGCATGCTAGCTGGGAAATTCTGGGAAGTGAAGTTCACACTTCTTAAAATTGATGAGGTTGAGAAACACTGATCTAAACAATTTTTTTTAGACATCTTCAACCTTGTCCTTGTTTTTTCATTTTCTCTCCATTCTTCATCTTCCCAATCAACCACATTTTTGTTTTTAGTTCTTCATTTCTCTGAGGGTGGTTAAGAAATAGTTTTTAAAAAGCTAAAGAGGACATGGAGTTACTGTCTAAAAGAACATACACACACACACACACACACACATCTACACACACGTTTATATACGCACACAGAGACACTTGCATGTCTCTGTGTAAAATAAGCTATTACTCTAATACTGTGTATTAGAGTTGTGAATGAACATCAAATTTCTCTGAGGAAATAATGTATTTTCCTGAGCTCTTAAATGTATTATATTTAGTTTTTGTATTGTTCTCTGGTTAAAAAAATTTTTTTTTGTTGAACCACACTTCTGTTATAGATTAAAACAGGCAAAAATAGCATAAATATCCAAAACCAAGTTAGTAACCCATTTCTTGATCAAAGTTTGTAGAGTACTAGGAAACTTCACTTTCCAGAACTGTGTAAAATGGACTTCATAATCAATAGCCCAAATTTCCCTGCATACATACTGTACATGCATTCATACATACATACATACATACATACATACATACATACATACATACATATATATTTTCGTAGATTTTCACGGATACAGGTGTGCAGGTCTTGGCGTATTCGGGTCTTATATTTGATGATCTTATCATGCTAATGACATAAGTATCTGCAGTGACATTCTCTCCAGTTTCATGGACATGATATGATCATCTTCCCCCAGTTGCTAATTATAAAACAAGGTTTAAAACAAGATTTCACTGTACTTGCAAACAAGTTTATTTTATATGTATGCACATAGGAATAAATCTAGCTGTCCATTTCAGATTGCTCAGGCAGCTTCACATGCCTTCACTTTTTCTATCTTTCTAACTGAATATGTCTTTAATTGTTTATATCTTATATTGATAGATATGTTAGAGCTAATAAATTAAATTATGATTATTTTCTCTCTCAACATGTAAAGTATTCTAACATCATGTGTCTTCATCATTTCCCGAGATACATGGAGGAAATCATGCTCCCAGTATCATGAATATTTGTGTATATTAGTCATTGAACTTTTTTTTGAGATCTGCTTAAATTAATAGTCCAAGTTTATGACCTATGACCAAAGATATTTTCTTGGAATTTTCTTTTTGATATACTAATATTCATATCCTAATAATTAAATAATGTAGGCCGTGTGTGACTGGCAATTTTCTGTGACTTTCATGATCTGATAAAAAACTAAGAGCAGAAAATCATTTGTTTGCATTGTTTCACTTTTATTCACATACCTTGACAAAAAAACAAACATTCATTCTACAACTATTTTTGACTTCCCAATCATTTTCTGTGGCAGAACCAGCAAAGTGATTTACAACTAAAGTTGCCAACCCCTCTTCTGCCTCCTTCTCCCTATTTCAAGGCACTGCCAATTGCAGTTCTAACTATAAATAGCACTTAGACTTACATACCGCTTCACAGTGCTTTACAGCCCTCTGTAAGTGGTTTACAGAGTCAGCCTATTGCCCCCCAACAATCTGGGTTCTCATTTTACTGACTTTGAAAGGACGGAATGGCTGAGTAAACCTGGAGCCCTGTCAGGATCGAGCTCCAGGCTGTGAGCAGAGTTAGCCTGCGATACTGCATTCTAACCACTGCGCCAGCAGTATTCCTAAAGTAACTGAACTGTTTTGTCCGTACTTTTGAAAATGATGAAGCTTAAGTTTTATTCCTTGAATATTTATTTTTATTTATTTGTATCCCGCCTTTAGTTTTACAAATAACTCAAGATGGCGAACATATCCAACACACCTCATCCTCCTATTTTCCCCACAACAATCCTGTGAGGTAGAATGGGCTGGGAGAGAGTGACTGACCCAAATTCACCCAGTTGGTTTTTCATGGCTATGGTAGGACTAGAACTCACAGTCTCCCGTAATTTATATATATAAATTACAAGCAGGAGCTGGAGTTTACTCTTTTGGGCAGGTGGTCCTCTACTTATACTCAGAATTGTACCCAGAATTATGGTTGTTAAGTCATGGCAACTGTTAAATAAAAGTGATGGACATTAAGCAAGCATGGCATTCCTTAAGCAAGCCCATTTTACCTGAAAATGGTTTCCAGCAAAACTATCACAAATTATATAACTGCAGGCCTCTGCAAATGGCTATAAACCTGGATTGGTTGCCAAGCACCCAAAATGCAATCATGTGATTGCGGAAGGGGCAGCCACTGGATCTTCAAAACCGGGTTGTAAGTAGTTCTGGGGAGATCCATCGTAGCTTCATACTGTCACTAAGCGACTGGTCGTAAGTTGAGGACTACCTGTAAACCCTTTCTTTCCAATGAACTTAAATGTCAACATTAATTAAACATTCATGCTAATTATCCCAACACCAGAGTGAGCATTCCAAAGGGTGGGAGCATGGGGGAAAAATGGTGATAAGATTTGCCCTTTTACCCAGCTTCCTTGTGAGTTGAATTCTGGAAATCTTCCCTGCTATTTGCACCATTTATGCTCACCTAGCTATTTGGGGTACTATTTCCTTAAAGGCTAGAAAACAAGGGGAAGCCAAAATAACACTGTAAACATAGTTGCAGTCATGTGATTTTATAATTAGTGACCACTTCGCTTAAAGACCAAGTTGCTGCTCCCAATTGTGGTTGCTAAGGGAGGACTTCCTGTAAAATACAGTCAGATTTACAGGATTATCATTGGCCCCACTGCATTGAACCTGCCAAGAAATTATCCATACAAAGACTAAAACTACATTCATATTGGTTATTATTATATACACAACAATGTGCAATTGCACTTGCCAGTTCTTTAGCTGGTGTTGGCCCTCAAACGCATCACGTTCTTCCCAAGAACTAGGATGTTATAATGTTTTGGTGTAGTATATATGTGGATCCAAATAGTGTGGTCTTTTGTAATTGAAAAATGGAAATTTTATCGGTGTGCAGGTTTTCTAATTGCCATCCAAGACTTTTTGGCATTGTACCCAATGTGGCGATAACCACCACAATCAGTTCATGCAATAATCTTTCAACTTTGATTTTCAGAGCTTGATACCTTGTGAGTCTTTGTCTTCTCTTCTGTTATCCCCTGATATTGCCACTTTAAATTATCCACGCATTCTTTTTTTCAACCACAAATCTGGTGTAATGTGCCAAGACTTTATCAGTTTGTACTTGGAAATCTCACAATATTTTATCTTGCTCATTTTTTGGCAACTTATGTGTTTCCACAAATTTTTCATTACTGGCACATGATAATTTATACAGATTTACAGTGAATTTTCTATTGGCCACTGTGCTATGTTGTTGTTTATAAGTTTCTGCAGTCTTCTTGCACAAGCTGAGTATATAATCTACTATTTCTTCTGTTTCTTTGCACAATCTGCACTTTGAGATGACTTTGTTTGGTTTGTTTAAAGTAGAGAGATAAAAGAACAAAAACTAATAATTAACACAGAAAAAGTCAAAAGCGTGAGAAAGAAAAAAACCTACAAAGACTTCCGTTTTTCTTCTACAGCAAGTATAAGTACAAATTTACATAGACCTCTTACTCTTAAGTTTGCAACATAACTTTCATTTTTCTATTATTTTTTCTAACCACCAGATCCTTATATCATAATTTCATTTGTTTGCGTTTCATGCAAAAAACCCAAAAGCATCTTCCAATCAGCACTGAAATTAATTATTTTCCCTAACCAAAGCTGTCAATTTTGCCATCTCAGCCAACTCCATCAACTTCACCACCCATTCTTCCATTCTAGACAATGTCAGATCCATTCTAGGTAATGTGCATATAAAAGTCTTGTCACTGTTGTCAAATATGGAAAAAAAAACTTCCTTGAGTGTGTGCCCAGCTGTTTGACCATCAGTCCCAAAAGGAACATTTTGTTTCAGTTGTAGATCAGTTTTTAAACTTGTCTAAATCAATGTGTGTATTTGAATCTAGAGGTTTTGGGTTGTTTAAAATGTTCATCAAACTTCCAACAGGAAACATGGTTGAATGCATATTATCACATAATGCTTCCCCTCCCAAAGAGAACCCAGTTGCTCTTCCCATCCTAGAAGACAGAATTTTTCCCCCTGCCCGCTGTCTTTATGAATATTGGACGGGGAAAGGAGTAGGGCAGTGGTGGCAAATCTCTGGCATGCGTGCCAGAGGCGGCACTCGGAGCCCTCTCTGTGGGCATGTACGCCATCGCCCCAGCCCCACCTCCCCCCACGGCCCCCTCTTCACCAGCAGCCCCCCTGGAGGAGAGTTGTCTCCAGGCTCGGCCTGCGCGGAGTAGTGCAGCCAAGAACATGGCAGCCGGGCAGCAGGGACAAGACTCCGCCCTCATGCCCCTTCACATGCAGATGCTGCTGCGAGCAGGCGGGGGGTGAGTGGAGCAGGGGGCGGGGTGGTTTTGGGGCACTCGGCCTCTAAAAGGTTCGCCATCACTGGAGTAGGATGAATATTGAAACCTGTTGCTGCTGTTCTCAGAACCAACTCTTCTCATGCTTGAACCTGGCTTGTGTTTCCCCTCCAGTTCCTTCTTGGTGGAAAAACAGCCTCCACAAGTTTTAAAGACACAGACCAAATTTCAAGCCAGCGTCCGCTTCTTGCTGGGACCTCATTTACTCAAGCATCCGCCAACATCATTTCTGGTCACGGCTGACATTGTGACGGAAAAACAGGCCCGAGAACTGACTGCCAATCATTCTCCCTCTGTCTTTAGGTGAGAGACATGGTTGCAACCTCAGTGCCTCCCTGCTGATGGCTTTGTTTCCAAGTTTCTTTTTTTTTTAAAAGAATGTATTTGGGGTGAGAAGGGGACCAGGGCATAGATCAGTGGTGACGAACCTATGGCACTGGTGCCAGAGGCGGCACTCAGAGCCCTTTCTGTGGGCACGCATGCCGTCGCCCCAGTCCTAGGCCTTCAGCTGGGTTTTATAAAACCTTTTCGCTTTAGGCCTCTGCCGCCATGTACAAAAAAAAAAAAGATTCAATCAGTCAATTTCAACTTCTCGCGGGGGAAAAAAAAGATCTTGCAAAGTTGGAATTGATTGATTGAACTTTTTAGTCCCACCCAGTCTGCTGTTACTACCGCAGCCACGTCCACCCAATGGGCCACACCCAGCCAATTGGCCACACCCACCCGGCACTTGACGATGCATAAGTGGGTTTTGGGTTGCAGTTTGGGCACTCAGTCTCTAAAAGGTTCGCCATCACTGGCATAGATTCTTAAACACAGATCTTATGTAGAGTGAGAAAATTTCACACGAACTGTTCACAGGAACTGCTTTTAAATACACTTTTAGGGTTCCACATATGAACTATTTCCCTCTTTTCATGTTCTCTTAAAGAGAAAGAAGAGCTGCCAAAATGAGGAATGATTTATCTCATGTAACTAGTGAACATCTGTAGTAACTTACAGAAGGTGGAGAAGGTGAAGTACCTAAAATGAATAGTTCATCTTCAACTCAAATGATATCTGGATAAGAGAAATGTATCACAATATTGCCCAGAGAAGTTTTGAAATTATTCTTAATAATATGGTAAAAGATAGATTTATAGGTATATGAAAACACTGAGTGCAAGAGGGAAAATTAGTAGCTTTAATTCTGTGCACCTGCCTATTAGACTCCAATTTAAAAAGCAGTCATTCTGTTATTTCTTGACAACATAATGGGATGGCCTGTTTCCTCTCTTCAAAACTAATGTTTCAAAATGGAATATTTTAAAAAGACAAAAATAGCTTCAGTCTTTATCTATAGGAGAACTGTTTTCACTATAGCACATAAACAAACTTTGGAGTGGGAACTCTCTCTCCAAAAGTTGAGTTTGTCACACTTCCTGGTAGGAAAGGAACCAGCTCATGATCTCGATTTTCCTTTCGATTTCAGTGAAAGCACTGGAGAGATTGTAAACAACACAGCATCGCTGGATATAAATGCCTCCAGCAATTCTTGTACCTCTCAGTTCAAAAATTTGGTAAGTGGAATGAGAAAAAGTGAGTGGGAGAGAATTCAAACACCCTAACTGGTGAGATGGGCTGTAAATTGGGATGAAGCCGGTGGGAAGCAACTTACCCAAAAATTGCAGAAAAAGCAAAATTGGAGGAGGGGGCATGGTGGTGGTGGTCATCTCTGTCATTATGCATATGTATGTAAGCTCAAATCAGTTTACAAGAAATCCCCAGAAGCAACTCACATTCAAACCATGGCCAGTATTGCACCATGATTAACTTTAGAAACGTGGCAGTGTAAGGGGGTCTTGAACCATCATTTGGGCTGATGTAGCTCAGGTCTGATTCACACTTGCACCATGACAAGATGCTGGAAGTGTTAGGAAATGGTAGAAAAGATTATATATATTTAGATGCGTTCCCATCTAGATAACAGTAAGAGAAAATGGATGTAGCAGGGAGAACATTTCTAATCCAAGTGTCTTCCTTCTAATAAGGGAACTTTTTAAAAAATGATTTCCCTCACCTTCAGGACTGTTTTTTTTTTTTTAATCCTCATCTCATTGTATTTCATGTGTGGACAAACAGCTGTTGCTGTATCAATCAAAAGGCACCTGCAGCTTTTCTATCTTGCCCAGCTTAATGGAAGGTTACAAATGTAGATCAAAGACACCAGGATCCTCTATAAAATCCCATGAATGAGTGCGTGTCCCTTTGGGCTGTAGAGTGACCAGATTCAAAAAAGAAAGGGTGATTTGGTGTGCTCAAAAGATGTCCATGTAGTGCACGTTGGCCTCTCCTTAGTCCAAAGGTGTCTTTTCCTAAAATTGTGCAGTAGCTGTGCAAGCCCAGGGAAAAGTACGGCTCCCTTAAGGAGTCACTGAGAGATGTAGTAGAAGTGTCCCGTTACTGGAAATCGCCTTTTCTCCTTCAAACCCAAATGGTTGCTCAGCCCTACAAGAGATGCTTTGCTTAGAACAGTGGTTCTCAACCTGTGGGTCGGGACCCCATTTGGGGTCGATCAACCATTTCACAGGGGTCGCCAAGCAAGGCTGGCCACCATTTTTTTTGTCCGCCATTTTTTTTTGTCTGCCATTTTTTTCCCCCTTTTCCGGCGGGTGCCTTACCTCCCTTGGGCTGGGCCAGCTGGTGGTCGGCCTGGTCCGTCTCTGCCGCTTGCCAGCTACGCCTCGGCCGGCACAGGGGGCGGAACCACGCATGCGCGGCGCTCCCGAGCAGGGAAAGTCCTCGACTTACGACCGGTTGGGTAGTCCTTGACTTACGACCGGTTTAGTCCTCGACTTACGACCGGTTTAGTCCTCGACCTATGACCGGTTTAGTCCTCGACTTACGACCGGTTGGGGTCGCGGCATTAAAAAGGTTGAGAACCACTGGCTTAGAAGCAAGCTTGACGAGTTTTGTCATTCAAGAAGGTCGCGTGTGTGTGGGGGGGGGAAATCAACTAATTATAAGCCGGGAGCTAAGATTTGGAACAGATTGTCCCATGCGATTTGCCTTTTCTCATCTTCAGCTTCTCAAAAAGATCAAGCGCTGTGACCGCAAGAGCACAGAATCTGTAACGGAAGAGAAGTGTGCTGTCCTCTTCAGTGCCAACATTTGCCTTGGGCCCAACCAAACCAACTTCCACCTACAGGTAGCAACGCCATGCGGGGGGGGGCTGTTTTATTATTAGCCCTGGAGATGTATAATGTGCTGCTGATACTGGTTTATTGCTTCCTTGAGAGAAGGACACAAAGCCTTGAAAAGAACCCAGTGACCAGTTCACTGGCCTTCACTGTCTCCTCTCTTCCTTCTTGAGCAGTTTGGCACCAGAGATATAAGCGAGATGCAAATTTCTAGGTCTGGCAACAAGGTTTTGCAGCGCCCTTTTGGGAGGAATAATTGGATGCGCATGAGAAGAAACATTAAAAAATGGGGCGGTATCAGGATTGGTTGACTATATGATGGTTTTTATCCATGCAAATTTCCTTCTCTTGCCCCAGGTTTCCTTCAGTAGAACTTGGCAAGAATTCTGTTTCTAATTATAGTGTCATTAATCATGCATTAAGCCCCAGATTCCAACAACAGACAGATAGCTGGTTGTCAGCCCAAGGGGGCCAGACATTTGTATTAAGTTCAAACAGATAAAAATCAAATCCTTAATGGAATTAGAGAGACTTAAGTAAGAAATTGAAGCCTTTAAAAAAATATATGTGGGCTTCACAGGATCTAATATAGTATATGTCTATATTGCACCACCTTTTCCATCTTGTAATGAATTGAGCTTCATTACAAGATCCTTAGGTGGGATTTGAATACTTTACTTTTCTGAGAAGATCAAGAGTTTATGGAAGCTGAGATGAGTAGAGAAACATGGGAAAAATTGTCAATTTGCCAGGATCCTATCTTAAACCCTTTCGCTCAATATGTTACAGTAAGGGAAGGCTTCAGGTAGCTGTCCTTCTCCTTCGTGCAGCCATTTCTTGCCCTGCAGTCTGCCCTAAAAGTGGTTTAGACTGGCTTGAATCCTGCACAAAGTCACTCCTGCTGAGAGTTCAGAACAGATCTTGCTACATAGATCTACTTTGGGGGGTTCTAAGCTGATCAGTCAGAGAGAAATACGAAGACAGCAGGCCAGCTTTAAAGAAAATCATCAGTTGTTAATTACGACTCTTTCTTCCCTTCTGCCATTCTAGGCTCTGTCGCTGCCCGTTGTGGTGATTGTCCATGGAAATCAGGACAACAATGCCAAAGCCACCATCTTATGGGACAATGCTTTTGCTGCTCCTGTAAGTGACAGATGCAGATTAAGACTGCGAGTCATTAGGGGAAGAAGTTAATGCAGACATTTAATCGTCAAAAAGTGTGAATTTTCCCTCCCCCCCACTTATCTTAGGGGAAGGATTTGAACCTGTGAGCCTCCAGAAATCTAAGCCAGCTTGTAAAAAAAAGGATGCTAGGAGCTGTACAGCAACCTCTCTTTTTTCTTTTTCTTTTTAATTTTTTAATCAACCTCTCTCTGCCCACAGATTCCCCATCTCCAGCCTAGAGCCTCTCCATAATACCTATCATACCAGTAGGAGAGGATCTGGTGGGACCGTTCAATTCAGGGTTAAGTTCTTACTTAGTTGTGAAAATCACTGGATGAGTTTAGAAGGGCAAAGATTGGGGAAAATCATGGACATTGCCAAAAATTCTCAAAGGAAAGTAAGATATAAACTAAAACTAATTTTGCCATTTGTAAAATCTGAAGAACCTGAGGCCACTGTACGGTGGCTTCTCACTCCACCGTTATGCCAGTTTCTGGAAAGGAAACTTTTGACATACAGTAATAAACTTTCTCCATGGGGCCCAACAGCTTTTTGTATTTCAGGCAGAGCTGTAACATGGAAACCTAATAATAGCTCTATTGGTATAAACTGGCTAACACATACTGGTAAGGTAGTAAGAAAACCAAGGCAAGATTTAGAGTTTCTGTTCTTAGTGAAGGTTATTTTTTAGTACCAGATCTGCTTTTGGGGAAAACATAGGATACGGAGTACTGTTATCTGCTACAGTTGGAGTGTGTGTGATGCTCTGTCTCTTTTTCTGTTCCAGGATCGCGTTCCCTTTGTGGTGGCTGAGCGTGTTAGCTGGAAGGCAATGTGTGACACTCTCAACCAGAAGTTCCTTGCTGAGGTGCAAACTACAAAAGGTCTACTCAAGGATCATTATTTCTTCTTGGCCCAGAAGATCTTTGGTGACAACATCACCAGTCTAGAGGAACTGCAGAGATGCCATGTGTCCTGGTCCCAATTCAATAAGGTCTTTTGATGGGCTTTGTCAGAAGGGTGATACGATAGCTTCTTGAGCTTATCTGAATAGTGTCATCTGCTTCTCACACTCACCTTGTAACTTATAGGAGATGCTTCCTGGTAGAGGATTCACATTTTGGCAATGGTTTGAAGGCATTCTTGACCTCACCAAGAAATACCTGAAGAACTATTGGTCTGACAGGTAAGAAAATAAACGGATCAAACCAGGATGCATTAGATAATTCAGTTTGGTGCAGTGGTTAAAGTGCTGAGCTAGGAATGAGGAGATTGAGTTCTAGTCCTGCCCTAGGCATGAAAGCTGGCTGGGTGACTCTGGACTAGTCACTATGCCTCAGCCTAAACTTTCCTAGCATTTTTGTTGTGGGGGGAAAAAGTAAGGAGCATTATGTAGACCAGCCAAAGTGTTGGCTTCCATAGGTTTAATCCCGTTAAACAAATGTAATTAGTTTTACCCCCTTATCTTGAGTCTCCCCCCCTCCTTTTCTCTTCGGTTCACCTCCAGCTATGCGCTGCTTCCGGAAGCGCCAATCAGCTGGAACCCTGCGGCGCTCCTGGGGCTTCTGCTGAGCCCCAACAGTCCTGCAGCTCCAGCTGTCTCTCCCTCAGGCTTGGGTCGCTTCAGCTCATTCTCCCCCGCTACACTTGTCTAGGAGGATCGCGTACCACCTGCCACATGCCAAAATACCACTGGTGGTACGCATACCACCGGTTGAAAAGCCCTGATGCAGACGACCTTGAGTTGTAAAAGATAAAGGTTGGGTATAAAAAAATAAATAGTCATTATAAAACTGAATTAGGAATGAAAGCCTGAAAACGTAATTAGTTTTCCTTCCAATTTTTTTCAGTATAAGAAAGCATATTTATTGACCAGGTCATTTGAGTCTTGATACTGGCTCATACTGATACTCGCAGAATAAGAATGTTCAGCTAGTTTTTTCCCCCCAATTTCACAATCAGAGGGGTGCAATTTTTTCTTTTAACCGTTACTACAATTCTCTAAGCCCTGCAGTGTTGATTATTGATTTTCTCCTCTGTTTTTTTCTCTTATCTGTCAATGTTGTCCGTGCAGACTGATCATGGGCTTTGTCAGCAAGCAATATGTCTTCAATTACCTGAGCAATGCACCAGCTGGAACTTTCCTCTTACGTTTCAGTGACTCTGAGATCGGGGGCATCAGCATCGCCTATGTTAACTACTTCCCAGATGGTATGCCTTTGCATAGGACAGCCCCATATTCACAGAGCTTAAAGCAGAGGAAAATAGGTTTTTCTGTCTCTTCGTCACTTTGATGAAATCCTTTTAACTTTTACTTGGAAGTCAGCATTGTTGAAGCTGAGAATAATTTTATTATATTTATATTCCACCCCACTGCAAGCGATTCTGGGCAATTTATAATGGTTAAAACTTTTAATAACCAAAGGACAGTATAAAAACAGTACAAGACAAAAGAACAACAATGGCAAAGAAATCAAATCCAGAAGGGAACAGAAAGAAAGAAAGAAAGGAGCTCTCCTGAAGTTGGGCAAAGAGTCAGCTCTTTAAGGCCCTTCGAAACACCAGTGGGACCATTTACATTTCAGGGGGAACTTCATTCCCGACAGCAGGCACTGCTGCAGAGAGGGCACACTTCCGGAGTCCCAATAGGTGGCAATGTTTAATTGACGGAGCCCAGAGTGCACCAACTCTGCCAGATTGAACTGGTTGAGCAGATACTATGGGAGACAGGTGGGCCCTCAAATAACTAGGCTCTATGTCATGTGGGGCTTAATAGATAGCAACCGGCACCTTGAATTACACCCCAAAGCAAACTGGCAACCAGTGCAGTTCACATAAAGCAGGTGTTACGTGGGCACACTGTGGCAAACCCATCACTGCCCATGAGATTGCGTTCTGGAGGAGCTGAAGCTTACAAGTGATCTTCAAGAGCAGCCCCATGTAGACAACATTGCAGTAGTCAAGCTGTGAAATGATCAGGGCATAAGTGACTGACTGAAGGACACACACACCCCCAATTTAGGAAAAGGCACAAATGAAATTGGGCAAAAGCCTTCCTGCTGCCACCTGCTTCAGTGAGCAGGAAGACCTCCAAATTATGTACTATCCTTGGTGAAATTCTGTACAAAGTTAAAGTCGGAATATCCCCAGATCTGGGTGGTCCAAACACTCATGGTCATTTGGTCTTGGTAGGACAGTTCCTCCCAATCCAAACCCAGACGTCCTCCAGGCACTGGGACAGAATCTTGACAGCCTCACTTGGCCAGCCTGGAGTCAAAAGGTATAATTGGGTACCATCAGCATAGTGATGATACTGAACCCCAAAATGGTAGCTCACTCAGTAATTTCATGCAGATGTTGAAAAGGAGGGGAGAGAATAGAACCCTGTGACACACCACAAGTGAGGGGTCTAAGGCAGTGGTTCTCAACCTTTTTAATGCCGTGACCCCAACCGGTCGTAAGTCGAGGACTAAACCGGTCGTAAGTCGAGGACTAAACCGGTCGTAAGTCGAGGACTACCCGACCGGTCATAAGTCGAGGGCTTTCCCTGCCCGGGAGCGCCGCGCATGCGTGGTTCCGCCCCCTGCGCCGGCCGAGGCGTAGCTGGCAAGCGGCAGAGACGGAGCAGGCTGACCACCAGCTGGCCCAGCTCAAGGGAGGTAAGGCACCCACCGGAAAAGGGGGAAAAATGGTGGACAAAAAAAATGGCGGACAGCCTTGCTTGGCGACTCCCATGAAATGGCCGATCGACCCCAAATGGGGTCCCGACCCACAGGTTGAGAACCACTGGTCTAAGGGAAGGTCTCTTCCCACCTACCAACCCCCACTGGAACCAGCCCCAGAGAAAAGAAGAGAGCCGCTATAAAATGCCTCCAACTCAAGTCAGTTGAGAAGGATACTGTGATCAGTGATCTATGGAATCAAAAGCCACTGAGACCACCATCCCAGCTCTGCCAGAGATCAACAAGCTATGATAGGAATAATACCCTAATCAACTTAGTAAGGCCGTGGAAACTTCCCTTCTCCTTCACAGCTCTAAACTGGAGCAGGATTGGAAGGGAAGAATTGATCCCACTGATCTGAAAGGGCAAGGAATTAACTAATTTACAGTCTAGCTCTCTGCCAACCTTTGGTTTAAGAATTGCAGAGGTCATGAAGCCTGATTAGTTTCTGAACTCAGGTCATTCGTTCCTATTGTTGAGATTTGGCCATTCTCCCCAGGGCATTGTGTAGGATGGGTGCGGTTATTGGTGCAAAGCAGCATTGCTGGAATTGGCTGTTGTTGAAACTCAGTACATCAGCATGAACATACAATGCTGGGTCAAATTATCTACCCAGTATTATTCTACTTCTCTAATGAGCAGCAGTATTTGTTAGGGGTTTCATGTGAAATCCTTCATATTGCTATCATGGAGCAGTTTCTGGTTCCACCATTTTATAGTAGCTCTCTTGAGTTTTCATGTATGTACTGTATATATATAGTGAGGAGACAGTATGTACTGTATATATATAGTGAGGAGACAGATCTTTAGGTTGGTGTCATACCCTTGGAACTGGACTCAGTTGCAACATAGACTGCTCCAGTCAATCACTTGCTTTCCCCCAATAACTCCTCCTGGGATTTCTGCCCCCCCCCCCCCGAAGCACACGACTTGCAATTCGCCATCAAGCAGAACTCGCCAGCAAGATTTGACCACAGCTGTGCATACTCAGCACAAAGAGGATTTAAGACTCACAGGAACACTGTTGTCTTACCAGAAGCAACTCAGGCATCTGGCTTGTGTATCATGATTCTTGGAATCTAGTTATTTATGACCTTGCCTTGTTGACAAACCACAACCTCATCTCTCCCTTGGTTTGCTGTTGTAAATTTGACTAGACTTTGGACTGCTCTACTTGGAAATTTGCCTTGCCCAACTAAGTTCTTATCGTCAATTAACCACTGTTTCCTTGCTGTTGGGATTTGCAGAAGCAAATCATGCATTTGGGTCAATGTAAAAGGGGGGGGAAATGACATTGCCATAGGTGTATATTACAGGCCACCCAACCAAACAGAGGAAATAGATGAACTTTTTGCTAGTCAGCTAACTAAGGTATGTAGGAAGCATATCACAATAGTAATGGGGGACTTTAACTATCCTGACATCAACTGGGAGACAAACTGCACCAAGTGGAAGATCAAACAGGTTCCTGGCAAACCTAGCAGACAACTTTGTCTCCCAAAAAGTAGAGAAGGGAACTAGGGGATTAGACATTTTGGATCTAATTTTCACTAACAGAGATGAAATGATAGAAGGTGTTGAAGCCATAGGAACCTTGGGAGGAAATGATCATGCAATATTGGAATTCAACATTATGGAAGCACAAGCAATAGAACACAGTCAGACTAGAGTCTTGGACTTCAAGAAAGCTAATTTCAATAAACTTAGAGAGGACTTGGGAAGGATTCCATGGATGAGAATCCTCAAGAGAAAAACAACTCAAGAAGCTTGGGAAATTTTGAAAAATGAGCTAATAAAAGTCCAGTCTAGCACAATACCAACAAAGAAAAAAAATAATAGCTCTCAAAAGAATCCAGCATGGCTGCTGGATAAAGAACTCTCTGATAAATTGAAAGATAAAAAGGACAAGTATAGAAAATGGAAAGAGGGGTACATAGCGAAGTCAGAATATCAGCAAATAGCCTGAGCCTGCAAAGATGAAGTGAGGAAAGCTAAGGCTCAAAATGAACTAAGGCTTGCGACCAAAGTCAAAAATAACAAAAAAAAAGCTTCTTTCAACATGTAAAAAAAAGAAAAAAGTGAAGGAAATGATTGGTCCATTAGTGGGTGAAAGTGGCAAGAAGGTGACAAGCGACAGGGAGAAAGCAGAACTATTTAACTCGTTTTTTGCATCTGTCTTTACACAAAGGGAAAAAACAGACCAATCTATCAAAAATAGTGCCATAAAAAACAGAATAGAAACACAAGTTAAGATAGGCAAGAAAATGGTAAGTGAGTACCTCTCCAGCCTAGATGAGTTCAAATTGCCAGGACCAGATGGATTACACCCCAAGGTTCTCAAGGAACTGGCAGATGTGATCTCAGAACCACTGAACTATATTTTTCAAAGATCCTGGAGCACTGGGGAACTACTGGAGGACTGGAAAAGAGCTGATGTAGTTCCCATCTTCAAAAAAGGAAAAAAAATGGACCCAGGAAATTACAGACCTATCAGCCTGACCTCAATACCTGGGAAGATTCTGGAAAAGATAATCAAACAACGAATCAGCGAACACCTAGAGGCAAACAAAGTCATTACTAAAAGCCAACATGGGTTTTCAAAAACAGATCATGCCAAACAAATCTTATTGCATTCTTTGACCAAGTGACAAAATTACTGGATCAGAGGAACGTTGTGGATATAATTTACTTGGACTTCAGTAAGGCATTTGATAAAGTAGATCATAACCTACTACTTGACAAGATAGAAAAATGTGGGGTAGACAGCATCACCACCAGATGGATCCGTAGCTGGCTGACTGGCCGTACTCAGCGTGTGGTCCTCAATGGAACCGCATCTACATGGAGGGAAGTGTGTAGTGTGGTGCCCCAGGGCTCAGTCCTGGGCCCAGTGCTCTTCAACATTTTCATCAACGATTTGGATGAGGGGATAGATGGGGAAATCATCAAATTTGCAGATGATACCAAGCTGGCAGGAATAGCCAACACTCCAGAAGACAGGCTTAAGATACAGAAGGATCTGGATAGACTTGAACACTGGGCACTATCTAACAAAATGAAATTCAATGGTGAAAAAAGTAAGGTTCTACATTTAGGCAAGAAAAACCAAATGTACAGGTATAGTATAGGGGGTATCTTGCTCAATAGTAGTAACTGTGAGAGGGACCTCAGAGTCCTAGTGGACAATCACTTAAATATGAGCCAGCAGTGTACTGCAGCTGCCAAAAAGGCCAACACAGTGCTAGTCTGCATTAACAGAGGGATAGAATCAAGATCACGTGAAGTGTTAATACCACTTTACAATGCCTTGGTAAGGCCACACTTGGAATACTGCATCCAGTTTTGGTCACTGCGATGTAAAAAAGATGTTGAGTCTCTAGAAAGAGTACAGAGAAGAGCAACAAAGATGATTAGGGGACTGGAAGCTAAAGCATATAAGGAACGGTTGCTGGAATTGGGTATGTCTAGTTTAACGAAGAGAAGGATGAGGGGGGACATGATAGTAGTGTTCCAATATCTCAGGGGCTGCCACAAAGAAGAGGGAGTCAAGCTATTCTCCAAAACCCCTGAGGGCAGGACAAGAAGCAACGGATGGAAACTAATCAAGGAGAGAAGCAACCTAGAACTAAGGAGAAATTTCCTGACAGTTAGAACAATTAACCAGTGGAACAACCTGCCTCCAGAAGCGGTGAATGCTCCAACACTGGAAGAAGAGACTGGACAGCCATTTGTCCGAAATGGTATAGGGTTTCCTGCCTGAGCAGGGGGTTGGACTAGATGACCTCCAAGGACCCTTCCAACTTTATTATTATTATTATTATTATTATTATTATTATTATTATTATTATTATTATTATTATTATTATTATTATTATTATTATTATTATTATTATTATTATTATTATTATTATTATTATTAGTCTTCCCCTTAACATGCCAAGTGTCTGGCTTGTGAAGGGGTGCTAAAAAAGCCAGCATGGGAAAATTCGACAGTTTCCCATGATTCACATGCACATCCTAGCATGGCAAGAAGGGAGGCCTGATCACTGATCCACCAGTTTGGAGATCATGTGGGCTGGAATTGCTGCAGTTGGAATGTGCTGGTTCTCCAGTAGGAAAGAACATATAGTATTGTGGTGAAGAACAGGAGTACAGTCAAGTGTTGGCGCAAGTATTTGACCTACCCAAGTTCTGCAGCTGCCTGGGCATTGACCTCCTGCATTTACAGCCGAAGCATTGCTTGTTCAGGCAACTACCAGGATCACCTATTGAATTATCGGCCAGCTGGACTGTTGGACTTTAGTTCTTGTCCTGCATTGAAGATTGAAGATTGGATACATACTGCAAGATAATAGTGTGGCAGCTTCAAACTCCCTTGAGGTTGGAGATTAGCAAGGGGAAGATGAAATGCATGTGTGGGAGGTAATGAGTTAAGCTGGAGAAGACTACAACAGTCAGAAATGCAGTGCAGCTGTTGAGTACAGCAGACAAAATTGGTGTCAGAATACTACTGACTGATGGCTAAGTTGCTTGACTGCTGAGTGGTTGGTTTCATCTGATGGAACCTGGGAAAGGGATGGCAGATGATGGACAGAGCATTTAATGGTAATATCCAGGTCATAATGGGCAAGGGACTGTATGATGGGAATGCAGGAGCAGGCCGCTCATGGGGAAGGTGGAGTAAAATCATTCTGCCTTCCAGCCACAAGTATTCAGTCCCAATGCTAGGTTAACAAATCCTTGATGGCCTCGGCCTCTGATTGCTGCTGCTACTGCTGCTAAATGTCAGGCCAGTCTGTAATAAACAGTGCATGATCTTATTGTGTATGTAGTGGTCGAGACTGACTTGGGTTGGCCCAAAAGGGGATGCTCCTCTTCAGAGTTGTGCTCACCTGGGTATCAAATATGGTAGTCATGACCCCAGAATGGAGGATTGAGGTCGCTGCTATTCAGAAGGCACCATTCCCTTAGCAGCTTTCAAGGGCACTGTCCTGAAGGTCACTGGATGTGAGGCTGAAGTGGGGCTGCAGAGAAAATTTGCCTCTGTTGCTGCTGTACTAGCCATTCCTGCTGGAGTTGCTCAATTCTATTGCTGGATTAGTGGTAGAATATTTGAGACTAATAGTTCTTGGAGAGTTTAATGTGCTCTCATGTGACAGAAAGTCACAAGAGCAACTCAGGAGTCGAGGGCCATCCTGACATTCATGGACCTGTCCCAGATCATTCAGGCCTGATACCCACAGCGGTCATATGTTAGATCAGGATTTGTCTCAGGGCAGTTGCAATGTGATCTGAAGGTGGAGGATATTACCATCAATCCTTTGTCATGGTCAGATCAGTTTTAGTTGCTTTTCAACTCACTGGTGCTGCCCCCTCCCAGGCATCCAATGGACCTGGAATGGATTTTAGAGGAATTTGGTTTCTTTCCTGAGGAACTGGTGAGCAATTTCCCCATCTGAAATGGATGGAAGTCAGTGGCCTTAGGTCAGATTGTTTCTGTGTGGTTTCTCTATGTTCATTGATCTTGGGGGTTTTACTGGTTTTCTGGAGTTCTGGAAATAAAATGATACAAGAGACTCCTAGAGGAAAGACAAAGTTTGAATTATGAACCCAAATTAGGGATTACATCATAAATGATAAAAGTGGTAAAATGTAGTTTTCTCCTCTCATCAACCTTTTAAAAATGACCCATTCCCTGTTGAGGAAGAAAGGGTCCCAAGAACATATTCAGGACTCTGTGAGAAATACTTTAGGCATATGACGGATAAAGCTACCGGAGGTTCACTTAGAATTAGATTCCAACTGGGTAACTAATGAATGAGATGATCTTGTCCTGGAAAGTGTTTGCTCCTGTAAATACAGAGTCATTGAGATTGTTAACATGGACACCTGTCTTTTAGATCCTTGTTGTCCCTGGCTAATGAAGGCTCCCTTGGGGTGATATGTGGTTGGGAACACATGGTAAATGCAACCTTATGTGAATGGATGAGTCCGCCTGCCTTGAAGGTGCATCTCCTCCTCAATAAATTGTAAAACTGGATCTGGGCAATTTTGGGCCAATCTCCAATTTCCCCTTTCCAGAGAAAGTAACTGAGAAGGTGACCAGGTTACAGCTTGAGAGGGTCATGGAGTAAATGGATCATCTGGCCAGGTATAGAATGGAGACATCACTGATCCTACAAGTTGATGATTTTGGCAAAGCCAGCATGGAGGTGTTGCGATTGTTCTGATTTTCCCAATTTTCTTTGGATACCATCAGTCATGATATCCTTCTGGATTAACCGTAGGGCAGTGGTTCTCAACCTTTTTAATGCCCAACCGGTCATAAGTCAAGGACTAAACCGGTCGTAAGTCAAGGACTAAACTGGTCATAAGTCGAGGACTTTCCCTGCCCGGGAGCACCGCGCATGCGTGGTTCCGCCCCCTGCGCCGGCCGAGGCGTAGCTGGCAAGCGGCAGAGACGGAGCAGGCCGACCACCAGCTGGCCCAGCCCAAGGGAAGTAAGGCACCCGCCGGAAAAGGGGGAAAAAATGGCGGACAAAAAAAATGGCGGACAGCCTTGCTTGGCGACCCCCATGAAATGGTCGATCGACCTCAAATGGGGTCCCGACCCACAGGTTGAGAACCACTGCTGTAGGGATTCAAAGTGGGATGCATTGTGTTGTAGTGGTTCTCCTTTCTCCACGGCCACTTCCAGTTGGTGTTGATGTGAAAGAGAGTTTGAGCCTGAATTCCCTGATCTCAGCCCTCCTGTTTAAAATCTACATGAAGCCACTGGGTGTCATATTCATTGACGTGGGGTGTAGTACCAGGAGTATGCTAATGATACCCTGCTAGGGTATCTCGATCCCAAGTCAACTAAGCAATGCTGTCAAGGTCTAGTCTTAGTACTGTTGAGATCTAAAAGGGAGGAACAGATGTAAGCTTAATTCAATTTGCATGCTGCACATAAATTCAAATAATCAATTATAAATAGACCTTGAAGTCCCACCCAAAGGCCTGATTTACTGAGAAGCCTGATAACAAGCAAATTCAGCACATCTAGAAGGTGGGGGTGGCTGCTCTGGATCATAGGTGTACATTTTTTGTGTGCGATGGGCTGACATTTTCATTTCTTTACGGGCTGTTTTCTTTTGTCTCAGGTTCCACTCAGGTGGAGAACATCCAGCCATTCACGGCAAAGCAACTGTCCATTCGTTCACTGGCTGACTGTGTTCTGGATCTCCCACAGCTCCATGTGCTTTATCCTAACAGGCCCAAACACGAGGCTTTCAGGAGGGACTACAACAGTGAGTGGTGGGGAGAAGGGCAGGGGAGAAGATACAGACAGAAGGAGCTCAATAGTTCTTTATCTCCTGTTCCCAGCAGGGGCAGAATTTAACATTTGCTTAATATGCACATTGGCAGCTTAATATTGTGTAATGCTGGTCTTAGCTCAATAAAACTACTAAAATATAGTAGAAAATGTATATTTTGACAGAACATATATTATAACTCTGCATGCAGGGGGGGGAATTTTGGCAAAGGTTTTTATAAATCACAAAATAATGTGAAAGTGGGACTTATAATAAACACCTATAAAATGGCATAGATCTGTTCAGGGTTGATTTGCTTATCCATATCTGATTGCTCTCTTCAGTTCTATTTAAGAACAAACTTTCAGTAAATCCATGAGTTTTTTTCACACATAAACTTGCCTAGTTCAAGTGACAGTGTCATGACATATAATCAAACAAAAGATGTGTCTGCAGAGCTTTTGATGTCAGGCAGAGCTTTCGCTATATGTCAATCAAAAAATGTGAAGAGACTCATTTTATAGATAAAGCAGTATTTTTTTTAATGACTCAGAATCTGTTTGGAGATTCTAAAGATAAGACAGAATATAAGCTCCATTTAATATTTGGATGGCAGCTCATAAGCTGATCATAAGCTGAATTGCTGCCTGGACCATTTCCAGCATCCTTCTCTGAGAATTTCTGAGAATCATTGAATATATCAAACTCCAAACAATTAGCTCATCCCTATTTGGGACTCTACCTTTCTGTAACTGATAAGCTGGAAGATATCAGGCTGGGAACTGCTGCTATAGAGGGAAGCAACTTCTGCTTTAGGGCTTCCTCTTGTTACAAAATTTCCTTGAAATTTCTTTCTGTATGAAAAATATGAACCAGTTTATGTGTTGAGAAGCTAAAAATGTGGTTGTTTCCTCCCACAGCAGAGACACGAAAAAACACCAGCAGTTATGTCCCAGCCAGGTTAACGATAACTGTAGACACGTGAGTGTGTGAATTCTCCAACTTTTTTCCTCTCCTCTTAACATTTCCTGGGCTTGGATACAAATATGTCAACCATCTTTTCCTAATTAACCTTTCCAGTAATAGACAGTAAATTCAGATCTATCTTAATGTAGTTCTACTGAAATGAAGGGAAGGTCTGAAAAGCACTTTTGCTCAGATAGCACTTTATTTCAGCTATGTACTTTTTGTCCTTGGAACATAGAACATAAAATAACAAGGTTGGAAGAGACCTTGGAAGTCTTATAGTCCAAGCTCCTGCTCAAGCAGGAGCTCCTACACCATTCTGGATAAATGGTTGTCCAATCCCTTCTTGAAAAACACAACTTCTGGAGGCAAGCTGTTCTGATTAATGGCTTTCTCTGTCAGGAAATTTCTCCTTAGTTCTAGGTTGGATTTCTCTTTAATAATCTTCCACCCAATGTCTATGGAGATTCTCAGTTATCCAGGTCATAGTTATCCCAAAGATGCTTTTTCACTAGTCCAGCTGCCTCATGAAAAAGCATCTTTGGGATCTTCCACCCATTATTTCTTGTCCTGCCCTTAGGTGCTTTGGAGAATAGGTTGGCCCCCTCCTCTACGTGACAGCCCCTCAAATATTGGAAGACTGCTATCATGTTGCCCCTAGTCCTTCTCTTCACCAGACTAGATATACCTAGTTCTCTCAACCGTTCATTGTATGAGTCAGTCTTTAGACCCCTTATCTTTTCTTTTTTTTTGCTTTTCTCTGTATTCTTTCTAGGGTCTCAGCATTTTTATTTTATTTTTTGTGTCGTGTTCTTCCATTGCTATCTGACTGGACTTCCAGTTTGGGCTGTTTCTCTCTCCCTCCCTTCTTACCATGGGGAAAGGAACCCCACATATCATCAGACTGTTGAAGGAAACTAATGGATAGCATCTGGGTGGGTTTTTATTATACAGCACCCAGAGTCACATTCATGAGATGGGCAACTATATACTGTAAATTGGATGGGTTTAAGTTTTGGTGTGATTTAGATTTTAGATTTAGATTAAGATTTAGATTTAGATTTAGATTTAGATTTAGATTTAGATTCAGATTTCACCTCCTCCATCTACCAGCCTTGATTTTATCCTATTGGTGCCATTTTGAACAAAGCAAGGGAAAACACTCTTTAAGATCAGATATGCCTCTTAGATCAGGGTCTACAAAAGTACAGGAAATGACCTGTCGATCAACAAATGGATGTTCACAAAAGCTGTGTTCAATTCCAGACCCTGCTCATTCCCTACATCAATTCAGAAACCACTTGACCCTCTGGGCGGTTCTAATGTGAATCTTGCAGTCCATTCTGATTCAACCTATCATGAGTAAGTATTTACTGATTAATTACAGAGAATCCTACTGTTGTGTGTCTATTATATAATGAACGTGTCTATGAAGTCGTACCAAGAGTAAGTACCTTCACATTGTCCCCCATTTTTTATCCCCCAGTTCTTCAAAAGTCCCTGTTTCACTGATCAGTTTCACTCCTTTAATATGGAATCATTGAAGGAGAATGCTGTGGAGGCCAAACTTGAGCTACTCCTAGTCCTGGAGGGTGAGAATTCTCTCACATCATAGAAGAAGGGAAGAGAATAAATTGCTCTTACTTCTCCTATCTAATCTATATTTTTAGTTTACCTTGTGTACATGTACCTGATTATATGGGAGGGGGATGAGGAGGAAAAGAAGAGAAGAAAATGGAACCATTGCTCTGAAGCTTCAATCTCAGGGGACAGGTTGAGGTACGATTTCTCACCAATGGAAAATGATCCACCTACAAAAGAGGTAGGCAACCTTGGCTCTTTTATGACTCGTGGATTTCAACTCGGCTCAGGAATTCTGGGAGTTGAAGTCCACGAGTCATAAAAGAGCCAAGGTTGCCTACCCCTGACCTACAAGTTCTGCAAAGCTGCTGCCTTCCAGTGGAAAAGAACAATTTCAATTACTCTGAGGTAAAAAAAAAGAAAAGAAAAAAAAAAGACTTAGCTTCCAGGTAGAGCCAGTACTGTGGGACCATGTCCAGAGCAGTTTCTGAACTTCTGCGAAGAGATGCGGAGAAAAAAAAGAATCATGAAATGCAGCTATTTATATAATGCTTCAAAATAGGATTGACGTCAGCATCAATGTCTTCTTCTCTTTTGATTTTATGAAAGAGATGTGAAAGTACTGTGTCAGGGTTCTTTTTTGTTTTGTTTTGTTTTTTGGTAGTGCTGACGCGTGTCCTTGGTATGGTTTTGATCAGAAGCAAAAATGCTGATTAATTCAGTCTATGGACAGAAAGTGAGGAAGATGACCTTGACAGAAATATGCAGGAACTGTTACTTGGGCAAAAGAGACTGAAACATTATTTTATGTCCAGAACAACTAAATACCATTCAGAAACAGCTCAGACAGACTGGAATATAAGAAGGAAAATCAGACTTGAAAGACTCATGTCAGCTCCTATAGATAGATGAGACCAGGAAATCAACTCCACAGGAAGGCTAAAACTACTTTTAGTGAGACTGGCTATAATAATATGTTATTCTGAAGTTAAAGATGTTTCTGTCCCTTTTGTCTAACTGATCGTTCCTGCATATTTCTGTAAGGTCATCTTCCTTACTCTCTACCCATAGACCGAATTAATCAGAGGTTTTTTTTTTTGCTTCTGATCAAAACCATACCAAGGATACACTACCCAAAAAAGAAATCTAACACTTTCATCCCAAGTCTTCTTTCATCATATCAAAGAAAAGAGACCTTGATGCTGACGTCAAAGAGAAGACCTTGATGCTCCCTGCTTTGTAAAAATATTCCTAACTCTATTTCAGACCTCTACTTAGGAAGGACATCGGAGTATTATTTTGGAACTCTGCTTGATTTAAGTGGAAGGAGAGTAGCTTCAAAGGAAATGATGTTATGAGGAAAGATTAACCACTCTCTCCTGTGCTAGTTTTGCATCTCACGGCATTATGCAAGTTACAAAATGATGCCTATTATCTGAAAAATGTTATGTTAGGTAAAACCCACTGGTGGTTGTTGTTAGTTGCGAAGTCGTGTCTGACCCATCGCGACCCCATGGACAACCAGGCCTTCCTGTCCTCTACCATCTTCTGGAGTCCATTTAAGCTCACGCCTACTGCTTCAGTGACTCCATGCAGCCACCTCATTCTCTGTCGTCCCATTCTTCTATTGTCCTCAATCTTTCCCAGCATTAGGCTCTTCTCCAGTGACTCCTTCCTTCTCATTAGGTGGCCAAAGTACTTGAGTTTCAACTTCAGGATCTGGCCTTCTAAAGAGCAGTCGGGGTTGATCTCTTCTAGGACTGACCGGTTTGATTGCCTTGCAGTCCAAGGCAGGGCTTTTCAACCAGTGGTACGGGTACCACCTGTGATACATTGGCACCTGGCAGGTGGTACGCAAGCATCCTAGAAAAGTGGTAGCAGGGGAGGGGAATGAGCTGAACTGGTGGCAGCATCGCATAAGCCTGAGCGAGAGACGGCTGGAGCTGCAGGGCTCAGGGCTTAGTGGAAGCGCCAGGATCAGCGCCAGGCTCCAGCTGGCGCTCGGTGCTGATCCTGGTGCTTCTGCTGAGCCCAGAAGAAGCGCCAATCAGCTGGAATGTTGCAGCATCTCCAGGGTCTTGTGATTTACATTCAGATGCTTGGCAACTGATTCATATTTATGACGGTCACAGTGTCCCAGGGTCATGTGAACTGACCAAAACCTGCTGCAACCACCCAGCAGATGGGGGGAATAAAAACCAAACACCCCCCACTCCACCCCCGCTGCCAATCCTCAACAGAAATGCTCACAATGAAAACCTCGAACAGGAGGAAGAGCGCCGCCAGGTGGGCAGGCAGGTGTCTTGCTCGGCTGTGCCTTGGAGGGCCCTTTTTTCAGTGCCATTGTAACTTCGAACAGTCACTAAGCGAACTGTTGTAAGTCGAGGATTACCTGTACTTTATCACTTTTTTCCTTTTTTTTTTTTGATCATCAAATTTTTGACACCTTGCTAGGCGACTGGTGGTACTTGGATATTGCCATATCCTAAAAGTGGTAAAATGGGTGAAAAGGTTGAAAAGCCCTGGTCCAAGGGACTCGCAGGAGTCTTCTCCAGCACCATAGTTCAAAGGCCTCAATTCTTTGGCGCTCAGCCTTTCTTATGGTCCAACTTTCACAGCCATACATTGCAACTGGGAAAACCACGGCCTTGACTATACGTACTTTTGTTGGTAGGGTGATGTCTCTGCTTTTTAGTATGCTGTCTAGATTTGCCATAGCTTTCCTCCCCAGGAGCAAGCGTCTTTTAATTTCTTGGCTGCAGTCCCCCTCTGTGGTGATCTTGGAGCCCAGGAAGATAAAATCTGTCACTACCTCCATTTCTTCCCCATCTATTTGCCAGGAATTGAGAGGGCCGGATGCCATGATCTTGGTTTTCTAAAACCCACTGGTTAACCATGATTAAATTTCTCACTTAGACTGGTATGTGAACTCAGACTCTTTCTCCCAACCAAACCTTTCTCAAAAGGCTAGTGGAGGAAAAAGAACCCATCTAGACCAGGTTTCTCAACCTCAGCAACTTTAAATATGTGGACCAACTCCCAGGTTTTCCATCCAAAATGCTGAGTAGAGAAACCCTGATCTACCCTCTCCTTGAAGGCCAGCTGAAGCAAGAGCAAAGTAAAAATGCAGTGAATAAAGTACAAAAGTAGGATTAAAAAAAATGATGCAATCAGTATAAGTAATCCTTGACTTAACAACCGTAATTGAGCCCAAAATTTTGGCCCTGTGTTGTGACAGTTGTAAAGCAAGTCACCACGTGACCAGACCTGATTTTATAACCTTTGTTCTGGAAATCATTAAGCGAACTTGACAGTCCTTAAGCAAACGCTATGGTCGTTAAGCAAGCTCATTGTTCTCTATGAGGCAGGGGTTTTTTTGCCTCATAGGGTGACCGTGGGCACTGCATTTTTTGCCTCATAGCGTGACCGTGGGCACTGCAAATGGCTGTAATGAAGGCTAATTGCCAAGCACCCAAAATCTAGTCATGTGACTGCTGGGAGGGGCAGATGTTGGAACTTCAAAACTGAGTCATAAGTAGCTTTTGAGGGGGGATTTTGTGGTAACATCAACTGGTTGTAAGTCAAGGATTTCCTATAGGTAAAAAAAGAAACCGGTGTAGATTTGTTGTATGCTTATTTCAAGACTGATAGAATCTTGAGATTATTCTGTCCAGTGTTTGACATAGCCTTCTCTGTGTTTGCCGCAGTTCGCCAGTCATCGTTCCATCATCCATTGGGACATCTGTAGCCAGCAGCACAACATACGGAAGCTCACAGCTGCCATTGTAAGGATCCTTGCCTGAGCAGGTCCCTTTCTGTTTTATTTGTCTGAGAAAGAATAGCAGGGAGGACCCTGACTGAATGTTATACAAGCAGTCCTCACTTAACCATCACAACTTGGACCAGCAACTCAATTGCCAAGCAACATGTTCATTAAGTGAAACTTCATGTGTCCCCCACCAGACTTATGACATCAGTTTCATTGTGGTTACTAAGTGAAACACCCCGCTTGCTAATAAGAGATCATGTAACCGAGGCTTGCATTTTATGGCCGGCTTTTCCATTGACTTTGGAATCCAGCTGTGAAGCGTACAGATGGTGAGATCCTGTAACCTTGGAATGCTGCCATGGTTTTAAGTGTGTGTGCTGACTGCAAAGCACCAGAATGGCAGTCGTGTGACCATAGAAAACTGCAATAGTCGTCTGTTTGAGGGCCAATCATAAAGTTACATTTTCATCAGAGCTGTCATTACTTCACAGTCACTAAACAGCAGTTGTTAACCAAGGACTATATGTGCTTGGATCTCACTAAAACAGAAATACTCCATCCAGCACAATTTAGGGCATAATATACATTAATATTTATTAAAGTCTGCAATATGGAAAAGCAATAAAAATAGCTACTTGCCCAATATTAATATCATACATTAAGTCCAAGGCTAGTTTAAATGTAATTGGATAATTAAAAAGCATATTTAGATATTGTCATGTTAATTTAATGCACAATTTGCTTGTTCATTTTGGGATTGCAATATTGGGCAATAAATGAACTCAGACTATCTAGAGAGCAAGAACCTCAGTGTCATTTTCCATCACAGGGGTAGGCAACCTTGGCTCTTTTATGACTCATGGACTTCAACTCCCAGAATTCCTGAGTCAGCATAGAGTCCAAGAGTCATAAAAGAGCCGAGGTTGCCTACCCCTGCGACTAGTCAATTAGCTTTGAATCTCCAGTTGATACCAATTAGCAATATCAGGATTTCCTATTCCACTTTTCAGTCTCAAGAGCTGCATGGTGACCACCTTTTCTTTCTTCTCATAGTGAATTAATGACTTGCTCATACCCTTTGGGCAATGCTTCCCCTCTTGGTTCAGTGGATTCATACCCCATGTGCCAGGATGTAGAGATGCCAGACCTCTCTATACCCACTGAGAACACCGTAACATATCCAGGGAATCTTCCGCTCCATCTGATGGCAGATCCATTAAGGTGAGCACAGATGGCTTCTTGCAGGTGGAAGAGAAGATAAAGGCAGAGACGTTTCTCATGATGGGGCTTTGCAATATTACTTTTTCCTCCTGTGGTTTTTCTCTGAAGGCATGCTTCCTTCAGAAATGATGGAATAGGGAACCTTTTATAAGATTATTTCAAACAACCTTTCAAAGGATGACAGGATGATGTGCTTTTTAGATGATTGAAATGCTAAGCAGACTTCAAACTAGTTTTAACGATTGAAGCCCTCAGTTTCTGATGTGTAGACAGCAAGGAACGTGTTTGTTGACGTCAGTTATTGAAAGTGAAGTAGACATTGAATGGCAGGTAAAACAGAGCAGTGCAATATAGAAATGTGCAGTTGAGAATAATAATTGTGGACTGGTGCAATTTATTTTGGCTACTGATAAAAAGCCAAGGAAGTTGGGAAATGGAACGGCTGCAATGGGGAGCTTAGCTGGATTCAAACTGGCAAGTACTTGGCCAGAAGCCAAGAAATTGGGGAGGGAAAATATAATGGGATGATGGCATGGTCCTGCCTTTCGGTTGTGAGGTGCTTCATGAGAACTAATTCCTCAAATCCACTCACTGCCTGTTTTTTCCCCAGTGTGCCCGAGACCATCTCCCCACCTTCCAGTGAAGAATTTGAAAAGCTTCTGCATCCAGACCAAGACCTGCATCCAGATCTTCACTTTTGCCATAATCCAGTGTGACCCATTTTTATGTGCTTGTCATCTTTCGAATACCTTGGAGATACTTTAATGGACCTTTTATGTACTTCTCCCTATCAAGCCTGGACATAAACAGTGATGGCTGGTAACCCAGAAGACTTACTCTGTTCAGAAAACCACTCCTGGGCCCATCTGCATTATCTACTTCATCCTGTTAGATCTTTGCAAGCTCTTTTGAACCAAGACCAGCTTCAGTTGTGTGCTAAGTAAGGCACATGCCATGATATAGCTCTGCCTACAATTGTGAGCGAAGCCAATGGAACCAGAGAGGGTCTGCCACTCACTCACATCTCCTTTGCTGTGAGCAATTACAGTATGTCTGGGGGAAGGGGACAGGCACGATGCACTAGCACCTCTGTGTGTTTTACTACTTACCTGTGTTACCTCTGGATTGCAAGGAAGAGTTGGTTTTCCAATTATAGTACATTAGATTGACTTTTATCAATACCAGCAGCCAAGACAGAAAAGATTTCATCAGGAATTTAAGAAGAAAAATTCTTTGTTCAATTAATGTAGGTAAAGTCTTGGTTGGGCTGCTGATTCTTTCATGAATTTAGAGGGGACAGTTGAACATAGGAAAAGATTCCAATGGAGTCTTATTTTTCATTTCTCCATTGGAAGAGGAGACATTGTATTTCCTCCCAGAATTTAACATTCCACAGAGCACCCCTCCATTATTAGGCAAGGTGAGGTGACTATCTCAGGCCAAAACAACAGCAATGGTGGGGAGGTGTTGAGTGTCACATGGTCTGTCTTGCTGATTTCCAAACTAACCTGCCTTATAGTGGTGAATGCGATCTCACCAAGTTTTTGTTCATAATTGTTAGGGGGAGGGGAAATGGGATTCAAACAGCTGCAAAATATTTTGGGCTAGCTTCACCAGCTGGCAGTTCCTCTAGGATAGGCGGAGCTTAGATTTTCCTGTTCCAGAGTGAATTTTGGGCTATTGAGATACGGACTGCAACACTTATGCCATTTTTCCTGGGTGGGGTATTGTAAAATAAAAAAGCCCATCCTTTGATACTAGATTTCCTGTTGTACAGACTCTATTCTCATTTGCTAAAATCCTGGTAAAAGGTGCAATTTAAAATAGCCCATAAAATAAAGATTTTATTCGAAAATAACAAAATAAATAATCTACTGTACACGTTACAAAGGAAAGGATGCTAGTTTTCCTATAAAGACAGAAAGGCTGTAGGGTAGGATATGGGGACTTGATTTAGTAGCAGTTGAGTATTATTTTTAACTCAACAGGAGTTCAAGGTGTGTTTTGTGAGTCAGTTTGTTCCAGCAAATGTTGCTTTCAGACCGCTTTGAAGATTAATATTGTTCTGTCTTTGTCTCATACTGTGGTTATGCTGTAATTATGAGTAAAGGAGAATGGAGGGATGATATTTTCCTCAGGGAAGGTACAATGCCTGGAGGGGAAGCTGATCCTCTCCTGCCCCAGAGACAGACAAAGGTGCAATCCCTTCCTTCCTTCCCTCCTTCCAGGTTTTCTCAATTTCAACATCACCCCTACTCCTTATTCACCTCTTTTGGCAGAAAGAGGACTGTACCGTTGAGAAAGCCTCGTTAGGAAATGCTCTCCTATTCCCTAAATAAAATAACAGAGGAGTTGTAAAATTAATGTTCCCTCAGAGCAGCAAATTGAATTCCAATTTGACCCTGTTGCATGTGTGTTTATTAAGGGCATCATATCCAACTTGTTCCGCTCAACAGGTTTGGTAAAGTCCAGCAATCTCTGTTCTGATGCCCATTCAAAAATCTCAGCAAAAACAGCAGTTACTGTACACCAAACCGTTGGGAATCAAACATGAACCTGCAACTAGCAATTCATCCAGCAGAATTGCAAATTTACATTTCTGAAATACTCAAAAGTAAATGTCCGGAGTTCTCGGCCTGTATAGCTTTTCATTGGCCGATTTTACTTTCTAGGCAAACGCCTTCAAAATGGAAGATCCGTGCAGGATCTTTTATTTTCTGCAAGTAGTTAAGAGATCAGCCTGTCCACTTCTGGCTATGACGACATCGGTTTCCTCTTTGCTGTTCACTCTTCTTCCTGCTAACAGGAAAGTAAAGGGATCGGGAAGAAAAATACAGGCGGTCCTTGACATCACACCATTCGTTTAAGCAACAGTTAAAATGGCACCGAACAAAGTGACTTGCAAGCCGTCCTTAAACTTACAACTGTTATAGCATCTCTAGTCATGTGATCAAAATTCTGGCACTTGGAAATCGGCATATACCGGTATATATATTTGATGGTTGCAGCAAGAGGGGGTGGGGGTGGGGGGGCAGGTTACGTGATCACCATCTGTGACCTCCCCAGCTGTCTTCCAACAAGCAAAGTGAAGGGGGGGGGGAGGAAAGCCGGATTCATTTCACTGCAGTGATTTGCTTAAAACCTCAGCAAAAAAAAAAAAAAAGATCATAAAATTGGGCACGACGCCTTTAACAACTACCTTGCTTAACAAGAGGAATTCTGGTCACAATTGTGGTTGTAAGTTGAGGATTACCTTTATAAATAAGCTCCAAGAATAGGAGCGTTAGGATAGGAGTAGGGAGCACTGAGAATGGGGGAACGGCAAGACACCCCCCCTTTTGTTCGATCCTTTATAAATTCACCGTGTTCTGGTAGAAAAGGGATAATTCACCTCCGTGTCAGTTCTGATACAGTAAAGGTAGTCCTCGACTTAGTTCATTTAGTGACCGTTTGAAGTTACAACGGCACTGAAAAAAGTGACTTACGACCGTTTTTCACACGACCCATTGCAGCATCCCTAAGGTCATGTGATCAAAATTTGGACCCTTGGAAACTTGTGTTTATTACGAACTACAGTGCCCAGGGGTCATGAGATCACCACCTTTTGAGACCTTCTGACAAGCAAAGTCAATGGGGAAGCCAGGTTTCACTTAACAACCGTGTTTCTAATGTAACAACTGCAGCGATTCACTTAACAGATGTGTCAAAGAAAGTCGTAAAATGAGACAAAACTCACTTAATTTCTCGCTTGGCAAGAGAAATTTTGGGCTCAATTGTGGTCGTTAAGTCGAGGACTACCTGTACACAAAGCTGCTGCTGGGATGCAGCTTAGTGTGGAGGAAGCTGTTGCTGGTGTGCCCATATCCAAACGGCAGCAGTTCAATATTTTAATGGGGTAAACACCAGGCCAGGGGTAGGCAACCTTGGCTCTTTTATGACTCGTGCACTTCAACTCCCAGAATTCCTGAGCCAGCATGGCTGGGCCAGCATGGCTGGCTCAGGAATTCTGGGAGTTGAAGTCGACGAGTCATAAAAGAGCCAAGGTTGCCTACCGCTGATCTAGCCTCTCTAGAGCCATTAGGAAATAAAATACCTCCAAACTCAGCTGAACAGCAATTAATGCTTCTGATGGTTAACCGCAATATAAAGTCAACAGGCAACAGAAGTAATGAGAATATTTTCAATATTGTATACACGATAAAAAAAACCAGGAAAATTCTGGGGATGGGCAAAATGTGTGGCATTAAGATGCCCCAGTTCTCCTGGTCTGAGGAACATCCTTGGGCTTAAAAGTGACTACTGGGACCATATTCCAATGGAGGGGAGGGGACACAAAAACTGAAATTAATTCAATTTACACATTTTGTTTAGTTATACAGATAGCATAGTAACCTCCTGTGTCTTTGATACATTTTTTTTCCTTCTGTCACATGAAGAATTATCCTTTCTGCAGCAATTTGCAAAATGGTTTGCAGGGTGTGCGTGTGTGTGCTACAAACAGTCCTGGGGAAGCAGCTTCTGCGCATACAGGGAACATCTGTGACAAAGACTGAAGGGCAGCAACAAACATGTTTCACGTGTATGCGTGTGGTTGAGAGGCTGGGGACGATTTGGGAACAAGATGTGTTTATGGCCAATCACTTATATGCCTTTCAATAAAATATGTACAGGATATTTATGTGCTTGTTTATGGCTGTGTACCCCTCAAGTCTCACGTGGGAGGAAAGGCTGTGGGTAAGTCTGACCTTCCATTAGTCCATCAGAGGGCCAGAAATTTGGTCTACCTGAGCTCATGCTATCAACTGTAGCCAGGGCACCCCTTTCTTGCTGAGTTAAATTAAGATGGCAGGGCTTCCTACATGATTCGCTGTCCATAGGTCCATGCTCTTCTGTTTGGGAGTCAAAGCATGCTCTCCATTTCATGAAGAGAACAGGGTGAAGAGTTGGTTGTGCTAATATAACAGCTCGCCTTCTGCAAGGAAGTCCCACAGGCCCCACACAGGGTGATACAGAGGACAGCCTCCCTGTCTAAAGCTCAGAGTTGGCTGGAGTATTATTGCTTAATGGCTGAGCAAGGCTGCCTCTGCTGTTCACTGCCGGCTGGTGTCTGGTTCCATCTTAATGCTATTTCTTCTAGCTTCCGGCTGTGCTGCGGGAGGCTGGCATCTCTCAGAAAGTGTTTCCCCAAACTCTAAAAGAGAGAGAGAAACATAGAAATTTAAGATTTCCTCATCCATTTCAAAGCTCAGACACGCTGTTATAGACCTATAAGTGGCACAAGGAAAATAGCAACAGCAATGTGCTTTACAGCCTTCTCTAAGCAGTTTACAGAATCGGCATATTGCCTCCCAACAATCTGGGTCCTCATTTTACCAACCTCGGAAGGATGGAAGGCTGAGTCAACCTTGAGCTGTTAAGGATCGAACTGCTGGCAGTCAGCAGAATTCGCCTGCAGTACTGCATTCTAACCACTGCGCCACCACCGTTCTTCAATTTTATAGGTTTCCTATTTGAGCATGGAAAGAATCCAACTTTCGTTTTCTGACGTTCTCCAATGGCTACTAGATAAGGTTTCTATGGATAGTCTTTGCCTCATCAAAAATTTGACTCCATATACTGATACTTTTAAAAACTAATTATCAAGAAAATTAAAACAACTGAGCAGACTTCCCAAATAAGGGACTATTGATGTTGGGGGGTTAACACAGGGAGATCGTGGAATGAGTATGACCTCTCTCATTTTTTAGGGTCTAAACGTCCATTTTGGAGGCCAGCAAACAAAGTCCAGGTAAATCTGTCTGCTATGTATTTTTTTTTAAAAATCTATCCCACCTTTGGAATCTTTAGGCAACTAACAAAATTTAAAAATAAAGTCAGAATTGTATGTCATAATGGAGATTCCATTTTCCCCCCAGTACTTCCAGGATCTTCTCAGAACATTTTGGGAGAAATCCAGAAACTAACGTTGCTATGGGTCACAATCGTGTTTCTCGGTTTCTGAACCACATGCATTTAGTGTCCCCAAAGTGCCCGGTGCCTCACTAAAGCTGACCTTTCCTGAATCATACGCAGTTTGCTTTTCTCCACATTCCAGAACACAACTGTAAGATGAACCCTCTAGTAACCCTTGTTTTTGGCAACATGGTGAATCTTTTTAGAAAGAAAAGCTGCCCCGCCCCTCCCCTAATTTGACTGCAGCTTCCCTAACATCCAGCATACAAGCTTCCCAATCTGTTCCCTGGAAAAAAATAGTAGTTTTGGCTTTTACTCAGCAGTGACCGTATTTCCCCAAAGTGATGCAACAGATCTCATATAGATGGAGATTGTAGCTCTCCTCGTTCTCAATGGTATCATTCACTCCTGCCAGGCTCCCTGACAACATAATTGTGTCAGTATGGATGACCTTTTCCTTGCCATCCCAGCCTTCTGCTGCCCCTCAAATTTCAAATGAAGCATAAAGAGCCTTTTCTGCTGTGGCTCCTGCCCTTTGGAACATCTTACCCCTGCCCAAAGTGAGGACTGCTCCCCCCACCACCTTCCTTGAGGGCCTGAATACCTGGCTGTGCCATCTGGTTTGGGGCCCAGTGGGAGAGTATCACACTGGAGGTAGTTGATGGAGTAAGAAAAAAACCCTGCCTCCCCTCCTGCGCATCCTGATCTTTTAACTGTGATTTTACTTTTGATTGTAATTCTATTTTATTGCTTTTTAGAAATATTTGTATTTTAGTTTTATAGCTTTTAATGTTGTAAGCCACCTAGAGTAGCCTAGTAGCAAGGTGGGCAGCAAACATATCTAAATAATAATAAAACAAATAAAAATAAAATAAAACAAAACAAACAAATAAAAAAACAAATAAAATAATAAAACAAATAAAATAAAAATAAAGTAAAATAAAATAATAAACTAAATAAAAATTTAATTTAATTTAATTTAATTTAATAAAATAAAATAGCTACTTACCAGGCATCTGGGGTTTTCCTTGCAAACATGGACTGAGCCTTCCCACTCGCTCATGGGACACCAGCCGGGCCAATCGCAGCCCTTCATCCATCAGTGTCTGCTGCAGGATGTGACGACTCCATAGCCCATGTGGCGGGAGGCTCAGCAGTGCATCAGAAGCGGTGTTGGGGGGTGGCGTAAGCCGGGGACAAGACCCAGTAGCTATGGAGAAAAAGAATCGGGAGGGGAAGGGCATGCCTTTAAGTAAAAGGTATTAAATCAGTAGTATACTGCTCTCAAATAATCTGTCCCGAGCTTCAGATAGCTAGAACAGGCCCAAAGGTAACCAGGAAAAGTTGCGCTGCATGTATTTGACTCTGGAATTATTGAAAAAAATATATACTGAGTTGTAGTTAAAGGTGAGAGAGAGAGAGCAGGAAAGTGGATTGAGATTCCTCAGTTATCTTTCACACTCCATGTGTGCTACCAACTCACTTCCCTGGAGGAAACGCAACACCTTTTCCTAGATGGTCTGTTAAGGACAGTGAGAACTAGAGGAGGAGATGAATCTTAGAAAATGTGAATTTTCCATAAAGGCATGCTAACTTTTGAAGTTGCCAAATTTGAAAAACATTGCTTTTTATCAGAGAATAAATAAATGAATGTCTACATGAATATAACTGAAGTTCTCCAAAACTATTAAGACATTTAGCTTTTTAAAAATTCAATCACTAATGGTTTACTAATTTTAGACTGCATTTAGAAGAATAGTGCTGATTTAACAGCAGCTGTTGACAATGAAGGGATATGCTGAACAATGTTTTCTATTGTATTCTCTTTTTTCCTATTTCACCTCTACTCTTACAATGTACAGATAATCCTCAACTTACAACAGTGCATTTAGTGACCATTTGAAGTTACAACAGCTCTGAAAAAAGTGACATGACCGTTTTTCGTATTTACGCTGTTGCAGCATCCCCATGGTCACATAATTAAAATTCAGACACTTGGCAGCTGATTCATATTTATGACAACAGTTCATTTAGTGACCGTCTAAAATTACAACAGCACTGAAAAATGTGACTTATGACCATTGTTCACACTTAACGACAGCATCCCCATGTTTGCATGATCAAAATTCAGATGCTGGGCAACTGACTCGTATTTACGACGGTTGCAGTGTCCTGGGGTCATGTGATCCCCTTTTGTAACCTGACAAGCAAAGTCAATGGGGAAGTCAGATTCACTTAACAACCGGGTTACTAACGTAACAACTGCAGTGATTTGCTTAATAATTGTGGCAAGAAAAAGCCATAAAATGAGGCAAAATTCACTTATCAAAATGTCTCTCTTAGCAACAGAAATTTTGGGCTCAATTGTGTTTGTAAGTTGAGGACTACCTGTATAAAGCTCTCTTCCTCAGACTTCACAAACTAAACCAAAACCACAGAAGTGCTAACTGGATTCTGAGAAAGTGGAATTGCGTCACTGAAAGTTATGTAAAAAGAAAAAGTCAACATAGTTTTACTACATTGGGGTAAATAAAAAAAATATTAAGATAAAATGATAGAACAGAAATATTAAAACACAAAGTAATCTTATAAATAATCCTATAATTTTGCAAGGAATAATCTAAACACTATAAATAATTAGGACAGATAACTCTACAACTACTATAAATAAACCTAGAATTTATAAACAACTCTAAGAATGTAAAGCTATGCTAATTTATATTAAGTTAATATTTGCTGAAGCTCTGCTAGGGGTTTGTTTGGATTAAGACCATTATGAGATAACTAATTATAATGAAGAAATAGCAAAATAAAACATAGAGTGGTATGTTCGTATTTAAAAGGAGGATAAAAGAAGGGTGAAGAGAAAAAACAAAGAAAAAAAGGAAAACATACTAAGGAAATCTAATTAACGCTCAGCATCACCTCACTTGGAGGAAGCTGGTTTGGGTACACTCATCATATTTAAACTATCATACGGTTTGTTTACTTTTGGTTTCCGGAATGTGAAAACCCAGCCATTCTGATTTGTAGACTATGATTCATGGCTTGGCATGCTGTATAAACCTAGCCAATCATGGTTTCCTCCACAAAGCAATGAAATTAATAATACTTTAGTAGTTTATGTTATGGTCACACAGCAAGCCAGACTGAGTAAAGGGGGGGGGAGTGAACTGACATAATAAAATGTACAAATTGCAATGTCTATTTAACCAGTTTGAAGTTAGGGTTAAAGTAATGCACTATGGCAGGGCTTTTCAACCTTTTCACCCATTGTACCACTTTTAGGATATGGCAACATCTGAGTACCACCAGTCGCCTAGCAAGATGTCAAAAACTTGATGACCAAAAATAAAAGGAAAAAAGTGATAAAGTACAGGTAGTCCTCGACTTACAACAGTTCGCTTAGTGACTGTTTGAAGTTACAATGGCACTAAAAAAGTGCCCCCAAGTGCCGAGCAAGACACCTGCCTGCCCACCCGGCGGCACTCCTCCTCCTGTCCGAGGTTTTCATTGTTGTGAGCATTTCTGTTGAAGATTGGCAGCGGGGGTGGGGGGTGTTTGGTTTTTATTCCCCCCATCTGCTGGGTGGTTGCAGCAGGTTTTGGTCACTTCACATGACCCTGGGACACTGTAACCGTCATAAATATGAATCAGTTGCCAAGCATCTGAATGTAAATCACAAGACCCTGGAGATGCTGCAACATTCCAGCTGATCGGCGCTTCTTTTGGGCTCAGCAGAAGCACCAGGATCTGGTACTGATCCTGGCGCTTCCGTTGAGTCCTGACAGCCGTGCAGCTCCAGCCATCTCTCGCTCAGGCTTGTGCGGTGCTGCCACTGGTTCAGCTCATTACCCTCCCCCGCTACCACTTTTCTAGGATGGTCGCGTACCACCTGCCAGGTGCCAATGTACCACAGGTGGTACCCATATCACTGGTTGAAAAGCCCTGCACTATGGAATACTGCGCACGAGGCTGAGCACGTTCCTTGCTCTTGTAAAGTAGTGCATGAGAGTCACTGTTCCACAGACCACATGGATTCTGCAAAGAGGAATGACATCACTTTGTGTGAAGCCTACCAAAAAAAGAAAGCCTCTTTCGTAATTTCCACTTTACAGCCTAGCTCCATAGTTGATACCTACGGAAAACTTCCTTAAGAGCCCAGAGCACTCACCTTGTGGATGTCCATCTAAGCTTTCCCCAGACAAGCTGGCTGTGTCTTCTTCAACGCTGGATCGGTATGGAGGAAGGAAGGGTTCACAGACCAAGGAAAGCTCTGGGCGGCTGTGTTCTGCAACCTATTGGGAGAATTACCAAGAAAAATAAAAGGGAAGCTCAGCTGACTGCCTGCCAATTGCCCTTTCTCTACTAGAGCCGTGAACTTCAAAACTGAAAAATGATCGTACCTTTTTTTACGGCAAGCACTAAAATACGTCATTAAACACGGTATTAACTTGCACACAAAATATAATCTTGGAACAAATCTGAACTGTAAGGCGAGCAATATGCTTGTGTGATTTTTAATCTTGAATGATCAGCCAGCTGGCTTGCCTGGACTCATGTTGTATATGGATTAGTATGACATTTCCTCCTGCACTTACGTATTAAATTCCATTTAATCTGTTTAGTTACAAATGATACGAGAAGGCTGGGGTAAGAATTGGATAAAAAAAATAACATGGAGGCTTTGTTTTTGGAGCTTGGAACTTTAAAAAAAAAAAGTTTTGGGCAGAATTCAGCTTCCTTCTAATCTGCCTGCTCCCCTGTCAGGACTGCTATGTAATTATTTTTAAATGCCTCCATTAAAGAGGATCCTGAATTGGCAAGAAGTACATTCTGTTTCCCAAACCCTAATCCACTCTCCCCCCTCTACAAATTGCTACAGAGCATGCTTGCAAATTTCAGGTAGAAATTGGTAGACATTATGCCTGCCTCGTTCAGTAGAACAATGAAAAAATGGAACTGATGTTTCCTATTGTGCATGTGCTAACTAGCACTGTCTCCACACTAAGGCCAACTCTGACCTTTCACACATTCAATCCATGGCCAAAGTCAGAGCTGGTTGGGAATGGGGCTGGGAGCAATTTTAGATACCTCAACTTTCATAGATCAATGTAATCCTACATGTAATGATCATATAATACATGTAATCGCAATGTAATGATAATACAGGACAAATATATATTCACCATCCATTCAGAAATGTACATGTACACCAATATGTCCAGAAAGATGTGCTTACATATTATATATATATACAGATATGTTTCTGTTGCCTTATTCTTGAAATTAAAAGTTGCCAGTTAGTAAACTTAGAGAAATCTCCTAGTTTTTCAAGGACTTGTAGGCCAAAGAAAGATGTTGTCACACTCGTAGAGCACACAAAGCTTGACTGTTGAGAAATCTGGATTCACACCTTTACCATATTCTTTATCTAAGTTTAAAAACAATTTTACCAACATTAGCTTGGTCTTATCTGGACTCAGAATAATAATAATAATAATAAAGTTGGAAGGGACATTGGAGGTCATCTAGTCCAACCCCCTGCTCAGGCAGGAAACCCTATACCATTTCAGACAAACGGCTGTCCAGTTTCTTCTTTAAAACTTCCAGTGTTGGAGCATTCACCGCTTCTGGAGGCAGGNTGTTCCACTGGTTAATTGTTCTAACTGTCAGGAAGTTTCTCCTTAGTTCTAGGTTGCTTCTCTCTTTGGTTAGTTTCCATCCGTTGCTTCTTGTCCTGCCTTCAGGCGCTTTGGAGAATAGCTTGACTCCCTCTTCTTTGTGGCAGCCCCTGAGATATTGGAACACTGCTATCATGTCCCCCCCTCGTCCTTCTCTTCGTTAAACTAGACATACCCAATTCCAGCAACCGTTCTTTATATGCTTTAACCTCCAGTCTCCTAATCATCTTTCTTGCTCTTCTCTGTATTCTTTCTAGAGCCTCAACAGAGAAGGGTAATTTTAAATTAACTCTAATCTCCAGCTTCTGGGTAGAGAGATGAGAGGTAAGGGCAGTTGTAAAACTGAATTGTTCTGGTTGCAGCATTTCCCCCCTTTTTTTGCCCAGCCCTTAGGCCAGGGGTAGGCAACCTTGGCTCTTTTATGACTCGTGGACTTCAACTCCCAGAATTCTTGAGCCAGCCATGCTGGCTCAGGAATTCTGGGAGTTGAAGTCCACAAGTCATAAAAGAGCCAAGGTTGCCTGCCCCTGCCTTAGGCATATTGCAAGTGTGAGAACTGGGGACACAAATAAAAACATGTGGTCAGCCGGTCAGGCAAAATGGGTGGCCTCTCTCTCCACAAACAAACCAGAATTGTCCTCCTCTGCTAGGTCTTCTGAAGTCAGACCAATAGGTAAAGTGCCAAACTAGCCTTGGCATGCAGTATGAAAATACCAGCAGGTTTTCTTACGCTATCACTCCTCCCTTCCTATTGCTCATCTTCTGATCCTGTTCAATGGAGCAAACAGCTTTCTCATAAATTTGCATAATTTATCATGCAGAAGGACATGAAGATACGGCGGCCAACAGAGAAGAATTTGCATCCTACTTTCCCAATCTGGACTGAAAGATTACAAAGGGGGGGGAAAACCCTCTGCTTCACTGGGAAAAAAAAGATCCAAATGGACCACTGGTTTTCAAATAAAGCATGCATTGTTTCATCATCATATTTTTTACAGTATTTTTCTTTAAAAACTCAAAGCGTTTCTCTACATTTTTTCTCTTGTGCATGCACACATATAGCTTATCTTTTTTTCTCTTACCTCTTGCTTGAAGCGCTTAGCTTGTCCCCCACAGTTTTCATCTGGACGCAGTCTGAGGACAAAAGTCATAAAGGAGTCAGCATGTCCAACTAAATAATATATCCAGGAAAATCACTCCTAGCCCAATCACAGAAGAATCATTCATGCAACAGTCCATATGTTCTAGACTACCCTGGTCCAGGACATGTGCCTGTGCCAATTTAGCATTTACAAAAATTTGCAGCCTGGGGGGTGGGGTGGGGTGGGGGAATGAATACAATTTAATGGACTGATATAAAGATATAAAGCATTAATAGCATCACAGAAGCTAACTATCCTTTGCTAGGGTTATATTAAATAAGGCTTGATACCAGCTGAAATTTACTTTTCCTCAAACACAGCTTGCTAAACAGACCATAATGAATCAATCTACGTATTAAGCTTAATGGCTAAGTCTGTTGCACTAAGTTACATTTTTGTTCTTTGTGGTCTGTTTGATTAGGCCTAACGGGAGAGGCTCACTCATCATACTTCACATGGTTCACAAGTTGTGATGGCTGAATACACAAATGAAAGAATATCAAAAACCAATAAAGGTAGTTCTCGACTTACGACCACAAGTGAGCCCAACATTTCAGTTGCTAAGCAAGATGGTTGTTAAGTGAATTTAACCCTATTGTCTTGCAACAGCTGTTACTTGAATCACTGCAGTTGTTAAGTTAGTAACATGGTTGTTAAGTGAATCTGGCTTCCCCATTGACTTTGCTTGTCAGAAGGTTGCAAAAGGGGATCACAAGACTCCCAGGACACTGCAACCGTCGTAAATATGAGTCAGTTGCCAAGCGTCTGAATTTTGATCACGTGACCATAGGGATGCTGCAATCGTCGTCAGTGTGAAAAGTGGTTATAAGTCACTTTTTTCAGTGCCGTCGTAACTTCGAACAGTCACTAAAGGAACTGTTGTAAGTCAAGGACTACTTGTAAATCATATCACTTTATCACCATGGGTAAAATAGGCCCTTATTTTAAACATAAGCATCTATGGCCTCATATGATGAGAATCTGTTTTAGTTCATCTTGCGCTCAGACTCTCCTCCATCTGTCCTAATATTCATACTTATGAGAAAATCTAATCTTTCGCTATAGAAGCAATTGCAATTTCCCGTGGTTGCTGAAATCAGGATACTGAGATTCATTCCAATCATGTTACTCAAAATGGTGTCTAAGTGCACATTTTATATGAATGAAGGCAAATATACGTGTCCCAGGATAATATTGCAAGATCCAATCTGGGTCAGTCCTCGGGAAAGTGGCTGAAAGCTCTGAGGAGTAAACCTCTGGTCCCGTTGACCGATCCAGATTGGATCTTACAATTTTACATCCTGATTTGATAAGGGGTCACAGTCGGCACAAAGACTAGTTCTCAATTTTTCAACTGTAAAAGGGAAAGCGATTAGTTCAAAAGTCAAAGCAGAAACTTTTTTTTTACTTTTTAAAACATTAGAATAAACATGAATTACGTAAATTGTATAATGGAATTATGCACATGTACAAATTCTAGGCCCCAAATTTTAGCTTTAACAGGGCGCAGTGATTTCAAAACGGAAAACATTAGTTTTTGAGCTCTTTGTCACACACAAAAAGTTGGGGATGAAAATAATGAAAACTCAAGGCTCATCCAGGATTATTCTTATATCGTTTAATTAGGATTTCCTGTTTTTGTTAAACCAACTTCAAAGACAAAGAAGTAGCAAATTAATAATAAAAGGATTGTTTTCCAAATGCCCGAGGTACTCTTGGGATAATTACCTGCATTCGTTAGCATTAGTGGGCAGATAATTAACACAGATGGACAAATCATACTTTAGCTCCAGCTTAGCAGAGATCACTTTGTACCAATATTTGGCATACTTCACATCTAGCACTTATTTTTGATAGCATACTCCATAATATAGGAATCAAGGTCAGATGGAATACATGCAAAATGCTTTTTTTTTTTAATCTGCTTGTTTCTATGGGATATTTCAAAAGGTATTTCAAACTGTTTGAAGGAATTGGGTTTTTTCAAGCAACCTGAAAAGGGATAGTTGATGAAGATTGTGACTAGAAGCAATAGCAACTTATTCTGCCTACTGAGAACCTTCCCAACAGATTTACCACAATCATTCAAGAGATTACAGCTCAGTTTGAGAACCTCCCTTTGCTAACGAAACCACAAAGATCTGAGTCTTACCTGGAACCTTTCAGTGAAGATAGGTAGCTGCTCTCCCGAGCCACCTGACGCGACAGCGAGAACAATTCCACACGACGCAACAGCAGTGAATTGTCCCGCAGACAGAACTGAGCAGCAGCCTCGTTAATTGTGAGCTGAGAGAAGAGAGGGAACAGAAATGATTCTCTGAGAAAGGAGAGGACCTCAAAGGCCCAAAACATCTAAAGCTGTGATTCTCAAAAGTTTCTGAAAGTAAGGACCAGTAAAAGCTTCATTTGAGACTGCCCATCCTCTTTATTTTTAAACCTGTTTTAAAATTAAATTTGTATTGAAATGTAATTCATAATTATCTATTTACTATGGCTTGGATTATTTTATGTTCCCAGTTCTTGACACATCTTAACACAAACCAGTCAACCATGTTTTTCAATAGAAATCTTTGGGTACAAAGAAAAAAAAGGATGAATAGATCATCAGCCCAATGAGATATCTCATTTTTAGTTATCTATCATATTTTCTACTACATTAATGACACCACATATTATCTTCTACATTTAGTTCATCACCATATGTTATGTGCAATATTAATGTTAATCATAATTTTTGGTAATTCTTTGTACACTTTAGTCCCATGAGGGTTTATAGTTGTATACTATATTTTAGTATATACTGTATTTTAGTTTTCCTGGCCAAAGGTTGTATGTATTGACTGCTGTCATAGGAAGAACCATAATCCACTAATTTTAAACATTATTTATGCTGGCCTTGGGGTGAAAAAATATATACTTGAATTTGAACTCTTCCTATTTGCTTTTTTCTGTTTGGTATGAGGTGACAGCTCCATTCATTATACCGCATGTAGATTCAGTCGGTAACTGCATTTAGGGCCTGTTCATTATTAGCATTTTGTTGAAGTTAGTATTCACATTCTTACATTTATTATCATTTACAGACTACATGAAGCACCAAAGATGCATTTTAATGAGAGAGACAAAGAGAAAAAGAAGAGGAGGAGGATGGGGAGGAGGAGAAGAAGGAGAAGGAAGGGAGAGAGAGAGAGAGAAAGAGAGAGAATGCTATGAAGTACACTGTTAGCTTACTTTTGCCACAATGCTTGGAATAGTTCAGCAATGATTTAGAGTAAGGCAGAGTCCACATCCACTAAAATTAACTCTCAATGAATCAATGGATATTCCTGTTAATGAGTTAAAGACTGGAGGACTGGAAGGACACATCCTTTGCAGTTACTCTCTAAGGCCCTATTCCTTGGTTCTTCAGCCAAAACTCTTGAGGTTGGTGGTCCCACCACTGTGAAAGTCTTTTTCCATAGAAAATTTTAGATTAATTCTGTATCATTTAAAAACAAAATTACTACCTTAATTGTATAGGCCAGGGAAAAGCAACCTCGGCTCTTTTATGACTCGTGGAGCTTGGCTGGCTCAGGAATTCTGGGAGTTGAAGTCCACAAGTCATAAAAGAGCCGAGGTTGCCTACCCCTGGTATAGGCTAACATAGAGGACTGCACCAGTAGAGCCTCCTTTGAGTTAAGCTGTTCTCAGTGATTACTTCAACTCATCCATACAGTTTTCTTCACACCATCTGGGAATGAGCTGCCTTCTTTCAAGATTTTTTAAAACTTGTTAAACCCACAGTATATCCTGAGGTCCCCCATCCAAGTGACAAACAGACCTGCCCTTGCTTAACTTTCCATTCCAGATGAGGTCAGCCAGATGCTGCCCCCTACTGAGAGTGTACAGTTTTTGTTATTACCATAGTAGCATTAATATTAGACATTCTTTAGTCTGCTAAACTTATTGAATACTTTAAGCAAATGACATTCTTGAGTTTTGGTTGACCAGTGTAGCTTCCCACGGCTCACCTCATGAAGGGTGAGCTGTTTGCCCTCACATCGCCGAGTTTCACCCCGGCCATAGATGGCACTGTGACGCCGGATCTCTTCTTCCTTCCGAGGGTCTCCATTGTCCATCTGGAAGATATGCCCCACTGTTTTGGCCAACTTCTTATTCAGCTTCAGGAGGGTCTTCAACTCCACATCTCCACTGCGCGGGCAGCTGCGCAGCAGACGATCCACCCCGTCCGACACTGCATGGGCCAGCTCTGGATCGAGATGCTCAGTGGACGATGGGGTCTCGCTGGGTGAGGTTACCCCTCCTTCTTCTTCAGACTCAGGGTTCCCCCACTGCATGGCTGACAAGGGGGACAGCTTCTCTCGTGGCTCGGAGGGGCTTTTGGAAGGGGAAGTGGTGCTGGTTTTGCCAGGGATCTCTCCTGGACTGGTGTGTCCATTGGTGAGTGATTTCTGGCTCCCGGACTCGGAGATTTTGAAGAGTGGTATGCTGCTTACAGGTATGGAGGGCACCGGCTGGTTGAAGAGACCAGGATTGGTTGCCCACTCCCGCAGAGCCTTCTGGAGGCGCCGGACATGGAGTGGCTTGGTCGCCATGCCAACCAGAGCCATGATCTCCAGGAACTCTTCCTCACCAGCCTCGCACAGTTGCTGCACATCATCGCCGCCCTGCTGGATGAAGGTCTCATAGTAGGAGAGGAGGTTGGCTCGCTGGAGGACGCGGTAGAGCTGCAGTTCGCCCAGGGTGCGGGGCAGCAACAACGCCATTGCCAGTTGCCTGCAGGGGTGACAGAATGAGACTGTGAAGGCCAAAGTACAGGCAGTCCTCAACTTACAACCATCTGTTTAGTGACTGTTCGAAGTTACAATGGCACTAAAAAAAAAAGACTCAGGATCAGTTTTCACACTTATGATCTTTTCAGCATCCCGATGGTCACGTGATCAAAATTTGGGCACTTGGCAAATATATATACGAGAGCTGTACTGTTCTGGGGTCATGTGATCACCACTTGTAACCTTCGCAACCAGTTTCCAACAAACAAAGTCAATGGGCGAAGCGTTTTGCTTAATGACTGCATGATTGACTTAACAACTGCAGCAATTTGCTTAAAAACTGTGACATAAAAAATGGTCATAAAATGGGGCAAAATTCATTTGACAATTGGGATTCAATTATGGTCATAAGTTGAGGACTACCTGTGGTGGCCAAAATGGAAGGAGGGCAGAGCCCCTCTCTATCTCCATACATAGTACAGGCAGGAGAAGAAAGAAGAAAATACTTGGCATTCCTTTTGCACTAAGTTTGCAAGTTTAAATTAGCAGGAGCTATCAGTGTCATGAATTAAGGGGCTTTTCTTTTTCTTGCTTATTGTCCACGTCCCCATTCACATAAGAACAACGGCTTGATGGATGTAAACAGATGATTTATACTGAAAATTTCCTCCAGTTTCTTTGGATGAACAGACCCAAATTTGGCTGAAGGGATCTGATCCAGCCCAGGAGTCTTTTCTAAGGTTCTACAATAAACAGGGGAGGCTTTCTACACAGCCTCTTAAGTGTATTGTAGTTCATATATTCTCTGCTCTGTTAACGCTAAATCACTGCCATATTCCTGAGGCAAACAAGGCCCCAGCCTTTTCTTTTCTCTCTCCTTCATGTTGATAACACCACTCACCCCTTGCTTTCTTGGAATAAAGTCCCACTGTGCTCAGTGGGGCGTATTTCTTATTAAGTGTATTTTCAGACTGCTGCTGAAAACTTCAATTACTCCTTAGGATCCTGCTTTCCTTATTGCTTTTTTTTTTTTTTTGCTAGCAGCAGAATTTGATCTTGCACTAGAGTTCAGTGGGGATGCACATTGTCCATCCATCCCACACCGCAACCCCAAGCTCTAATACATTAATCTTGCCATCAAAAGAAAGCTCTTGTACTCCATTTTAGTTTTTGCCTCTGCACTATGAGGGTTTTATCTTTATTATAAATCTTCAAGTACAGTAAACTACCCTAACTTACAATAACAGCAGCCCATGCATCAAAGTCTTTTTGCTTTTGCACTACCAGCCTGATCAACATTACAATCAAGCTTCTGTCCTTTGAAAACCCAGTGGGACATATTCACCTGCTTAGTACATATGCGTGCTCACACAAAACCTAGATTTTCTGCACCAACCAGAAACACTCGGCACACACCTCTTGCTGGGCCTAGTAACCAACATGCACACCCATATCTGACTCCTCCAAACGCCCACTGCTTGTTCCTTCTTTATCCACCCGTGTGCACACTCTGTCTTCTATTACAAGGCCATTAAGACAGTGAAGCAATGGGCTGGGGTGGAGTTGGCACTCCACGGATACCAACAGAGCTGCCATTATTTTCTCTTCTTGGAAGAGGCTGAAGATAAACAGCGGGTGAGGAAATTTTGAGAATACAAGTGGGAGATATGTGGGTGTGGAAGGGAGGGGGGCTAATGGGGAATGCAACTGTAATGTGGGAAAAACCTTGAGAAACTGGGCGAAGAGATGCTGCCAAGGGAACGGTCAGATAAGAGACAGCATGGCAGTGCAGTGCAGCTGGATACTGGGCGGGGCAAGAGGCTCAGAAGGGACCCTCACTATTTCTCCAGCTGTAAAGGAGATGGGGAGAGAACTGTATTTTCCAACATGCAAGATTTTGTCAATTATAACGAAGTCAAATTAACTCATCTGGTCAAGATTCTTAACTTGTTAACTTGGTGAGGTCAACAGCAACTGATGGTTGCTGACAGACACTATTCAGATCAAACTTCACTATCTTCCTATAGTTCTTGCTGGTCTTCCCTAGAGATGCCAACAGGGTAAGTATTAAAAGTATAGGTAGTCCTCAACTTACAACAGTTCATTTAGTGACCGTTTAAAATTACAACACCACTGAAAAATGTGACCATTGTTCACACTTACGACAGCATCCCCATGTTCACATGACCAAAATTCAGACGCTTAGCAACTGACTTGTATTTATGATGGTTGCAGTGTCCCAGGGTCATGTGATCCCCTTTTGCGAACTTCTGTCAAGCAAAGTCAATGGGGGAAGCCAGATTCACTTAATAACCACGTTGCTAACTTAACAAATGCAATGATTCCCTTAACAACTGTGGCAAGAAAAGTCATAAAATGGGTCAAAACTCACTTAACAAATGTTTCACTTAGCAACATCATTTTGGGGCTCAATTGTGGTTGTAACTCGAGGACTACCTGTAATTATCCAAAGGCCTTAAACATTATACCGCCTGGCTTATCCTCTTACTCATATTATCATTTTTTAAAGCACTGGAGAGAGATTATAAAATTATAATTCTAAGATTACTACCTGGAAAATAGATTTTCTAATCCCAATACCTGATATTTCTGGATAAAGCATTAAAGATTAGGTGTTAATCCATTTTAACATCAGTATTTCAAGCCCAGATTGAAAGCTCAGAGATGAGATTGCTTTTATCCTGGCTTTTTTCTTTCTTTCTTTCAAATGTTAACTTAGCTGAGGAAATTAAACTCTTCCCTGCCTCATATTCTTTCTCAGACACCAGTGCTGGTGTGATTTTTCTGGGTGCACCATGGCAACTCCCAAAATGCCCTCTCTGAAGTACTGAAAGAGATAGGAGTGTTTCTGAGCCTGTGCAGAATCCACCGGGCTCATTGGACTCAAGGTCTCCAGAACAGACTGCAAATAAGGTTGCACAGGTGTGGGGGGGGCGTGCCCCCCCCAAAAAAAGCAAGCTTGAGCCCCGACATCCTTTTGAACGTGTTGGCATTTTCACCAGGGACGCCCTTTGCATCCTAGCAACTTCTGGAAGAAGCGTGTCGTCGAAGAGCTGCGAGGTTGGCAGCCGATTCCTCTTCGCCAGTTCTCGCCTGCCTCGCTTGGCCCCCTCCTCCCCGCAACTTGCTTCCGGTCGATCCCCTCCTCAATCCACTTCTCCTGCTTCCCCCCCCCCTTTTCCCCTCTTCTCGCTCCCCCCTCCCCGTGGCAATCTTACCGCGCCAGTGGATTTCTTCGCAGCCTGACCGATGTGCCCGTCAAGCATGGACCCAAGGCCTCCGAAGCCTGGCTGGTGGCCGCCCCTTCTGCTGGCTCTCCGCCGAAGGGCAGACCCAGAAGGAGCGGAGCTCCCAACGCAGCACGCTTGTCCAGCTTCGATGGTCTTCTGCGTCCCTCCGTCGGAGCTTCTCTGTCCGCCCCCCCTCCTCCTCCTCCTCCGCCTCCCTTCCCTCTGCGCGCCTCTGCGCTGAGCCTTTGGCACGGAATTGCCTCCCACGCCGCCGGATTCACAATGGAACGGCGGCGGCGGCAGCGGCTCTGAGCTGCTGCCGCGCGTGGGAGGTTTCGGGGGCGGCAGGCAGCTTCTGCCTCGGACCAGAAAAACTGCAACAGCAGCATCAGACCGCCTTCGCCACCGCAAGCGCCGGGGGAGGGGGAGGTACAGCATTTACCGCCCACCTTCCCTCCTCGCGGCTTCCAAGATGCGAAGAGTAAGGCTTCCCCACCAGCGCCCCGCTTGATTGCCCCAACTTCTTCCACTTGTCTTCAGCGCGGGCGGCGTTCGTGCGCCTCGGAAGGAGCAGAAGATCGAGTTGATGATCCAGGCGCGGGCATCATCATCATCAGCCTGTCTCTCTCTCTTTTTTTTTCTTCTTTTGCGACGTTTTGCAAGCCTGGGCTTTGTGTGGAATACGCCCAGTCTCGGTGAAACGTGCAGAACTTTCGTGTATTTAAAATCAGTGGGTTTCCTGCCCGAGTCTACATGCCTGTCGCCGCTTTTCCCGCCTCTGTTAGGTTCATCATGTGTGCGCAATAATGCTTTCGTGAGCGCACTGGCGTGTGCATTGTAAGCAACCTATCGGTTCGCTCACTTGGACATTCGGATGTATATGGAAAAGTTCGGTGTGGGTTTTGTTTTTTATACACTTACATGGGTACTGTTTACACTGCGGAATAAAGTTCCGGGATCGGAGGGAGTTGCTGAGAAAATAATACATCCATTCATTGAAGACGTGGGGAGTTTCAAATAGTATGAGGCTCAAATCAGGATACAGGGTTTGATTCGGTATTTCCCAACCTAGGCAACTTACAGACTTCAACTCCCAGAATTCTCAGCAGTGACCAAATATGGCTGAGAAATTCTGGGCATTCAAGTGCACATATCCGAAAGTTGCTCAGACAGGAATTGATCTACAGTACTTTTAAAATAAAGTACTGTAATCGTTTCCTTAAGCTGTTTTGCGCTGAATTCAGTATCCATTTTATTGAAACATGCTAGGTTATTTTTGAAAAGCAAAAAGCAGTGCTGTACAAACCCATTATTTATTGATCTGAATGTATGGGGAATGGTGAGAACACATTCATATTTTTCCCCCTCTGCAAAAATAGTGTCTGGATAAAAAAGCAAGACCTGCTTTTTTTCCAGTAACAGAAGAAGCTGTGGGAAGTCAGAGCCCCAGAGAAGGAAATATTAAAAAGGCAGAACAATATTTTTCCTCAAAAAGGATTTTTAAAACCAAAAACCAAACCTGGCATCATCTCTTTGCCCCAAGCAGGAACCAGCCCTATAGAAATGCAGATGTGTAACCATCAGGAAGGTTGGAGCCAGGAACTCAAGAAGACAAAGAACCTCTTAAGAGTCATTAGCCCCATCCCCAGGGAAGGAGATGACTTTTGGGACATAATATGACTAACCATTACCATCAAGTAATACCAGAGAGGCACACCTGGGCTCAGGTCAGAATACGTGACA